ACTCATGTCAAATAATGAAACTATCTTTGGATCGATTCATTATTCACATGTAAACCTTATAATTGTCACACGCTTATCATCGCAGATGTGTATACAGTCTAAATAAATATTAACCTTCCTTTGGGCCGATTAAATATTTACACGAAAGCATACACACAAACATCTCACATTCCTCATGAACAATCTACACAAGAGAGGTTACTTTGGCAACTTCTTGTTTCAATTAATCAATTGGAGTGAGAGACAACCTTAATACCTTAGTGTCATAATATTTAAAATAAATAATTGATTAAAAACCGAATTAGATTTAAATTAAAAAATTTAAATCAACTGAATATCCAACAACTTCTTGTTTCAATTAATCAATTGGAGTGAGAGACAACCTTAATACCTTAGTGTCATAATATTTAAAATAAATAATTGATTAAAAACCGAATTAGATTTAAATTAAAAAATTTAAATCAACTGAATATCCAAAAACTTAATTGGGGTCTCACAGCTTAATTAGGGCCCATTACTTAATTGAATAAATTAAGTTCACCAAAGTGGACCCATGAAAAGCCGAGGCTTAACCATAATGAACACGAAGTTCCCTTAACTTCGAACGCGAGGTTCGACTGTATTGAGTACGAGACTCACTTAAGCACGAACGCGAGGTTCGTCTGAAAATGAACGAACGCGAGGTTCGTTTGATAAAAGAACGCGAGGTTCAACTTGGGAACGAACGCGAGGTTCGTTTAAAAAAATGAACGCGAGGTTCGACTGAAGTACGAACGCGAGGTTCGTCTGAAGTACGAACGTGAGGTTCGTCTGAAGTTTGAACGCGAGGTTCGTCTGAAGTTTGAACGCGAGGTTCGTCTGAAGTACGAACGCGAGGTTCGTCTGAAGAACGAACGCGAGGTTCGTTAAAAAATTGAGCTTGACGCTCACCTGAGTTGAACGCGAGGTTCACCTTAGAACGAACGCGAGGTTCGTTAAAATTGAGCTTGACGCTCACCTGAGTTGAACGCGAGGTTCACCTTAGAACGAACGCGAGGTTCGTTAAAATTGAGCTTGACGCTCACCTGAGTTGAACGCGAGGTTCACCTTAGAACGAACGCGAGGTTCGTTAAAATTGAGCTTGACGCTCACCTGAGTTGAACGCGAGGTTCACCTTAGAACGAACGCGAGGTTCGTTAAAATTGAGCTTGACGCTCACCTGAGTTGAACGCGAGGTTCACCTTAGAACGAACGCGAGGTTCGTTGAGCGCGAAGCTCGGTTAAAATTGAACGAACGCGAGGTTCGTTTGAGGTAACTACCTCCTTAATTTTCGCCATGAACTCTTAGGGTTTCAAACAGAAACCGCCGCCGCCAAACCCAAAAAAATTCTTCGATTTTTATTTTCAAAACCAGATCCAGAATCGGAAAAAATTTCTTGATCCAGATCCAAGAAAAATTGAAGAAAAAATCAAAGGAAAATCCAAAAAATTCCAAAAAGTAACTGTTCACCGGTGATTTTTCAGTTACTGTTCCTCTGGAAAAAACTTTACTGTTCATCCGAACAAAAACTTTACTGTTCATCCGAAAATTTTTGTTAATGTTCATCCGAACCCAAAAAATTGAATCTTTAATCAGATATTTAAGATCAAAAACCCAATAAAACTTAAATCCCTAAGAATTAATCAAGGTGGCTCTGATACCACTTGTTAGATCTAAAACAAAACTTGAGATCTAAAACCATATAGCCATGATTAATTCAAAGAGATTAACAATAATCTAAAGAGCGGAAGCTTATACCTGAATCCATGGATGAACCTTGAGATGGATTTTGGATCTTCTAACCTTAGGGTTTCTCTAAATCCGAATTTCTCTAGCTAGATGGGGGTGTAGAGAATTAGAGAATGTAACCCTAGGTTAGGGACCATAACCCCTTATTTATAGATGTTGTACTTTTGTAATTTAGCACATCAATAAATTACAATTACAACCTGGTATCTGCACATATAACCCCATGACTTATTTAAATACCAAATTAACCCAACTTAATTGATCACTTTAGTGGGTTATCCTGAAAGATAGCAATACACATTGATTAATCATATGTGCCCACAAATAGATTTATTAGATTAAATCCAACATTCTAGTGTCAGTTGCCATTGCTCTAGAATAGGGTTGCAATCTTACACTAGAGATGAGCAGTTTTAGCGGGGGGCCTCAAGATTCTTGTATTTTTTTTTTCCTTACTAATTACAGGGAACTTCAGGTCGAGGCCTTCTATTAATTTTTGTAATTTCAAAGTTTTTTTTTTCCTTAAGTGTGGTTTTATTAATAGAAGAATGTTATTGTAAACACTACATTCTATTTGAAAATATAATTTCAAAGTATTGTTCGGTAATGATCTTTAAATGCTAGTTAATTAATTGTGAAAAAAAAAGTTACATGCTATCATGTTAAATTTTTTGGACCTCGTACTAAAATTCCCGGCTCCGTCACTGTTTAGTGGTCGTGCTGCTCCTGTCCCAGCCAAAAAATTGGGGAAACACTGAACATACGGTAGGATTAATAAAATGGTAATGTTTATTAATTTTTTCTTATTTGAGAAAAGGCCTGAGCCCATTCATCAAAAAAGATACCATCTACTTGCCTCCTTTTGTATATGGATGTTGACCGTATAGAAATCCTCTAGAATTTCACCGCTATTACCTCCTCCTGTTTTCTCTATGCAGTTTTGCGAGCACTTAGGTGACACGATATTTCGTTGCAGGTGCCAATTTTACTCTCTTCTATTCCTTGTACTGAGTTAGGCGACCAAATGTTTAATGCTTAGTGCTTGTGTTAAATATCAGGACGTTGCTAATTTGAATGCCAGAACAAGAGGGCAAGGAAGCAAAGGCAGAGAATAATCAGAACCCTGTTCTTGTATAAAGATCAAAATTATGAAGAATTTATGATCCCTCAGAGCCATATGCTCAATTGTCATTTCAATCCAATTAATACTGTGAGCGTACACCTTGTAAGTACAATTCCGTTCCAAATTTATGACCACGAACGGCCTTACTCATCCTGAAGCCAAGAAGCTATTCAACTCAAATAAAGGTTCAGGATCATTATCTTTTGAGCCATCACAATACAGTTAACCTCTTGACATCCCCAAGAAAATTGCAAGCTTCCAGCCCCTGAAGCATCACTGACGTACAAAGCAGCCGTCTAAAAGGAAGAAGTTTTTCACAAAACAAAGGGAAATACTTCAGAACAATTTTTAGAAAATGGCATGACTAACGGAAGTGCAGGGCCGTGTTTTGCATTTTCAACCTGATGATCGTCTCAACGCGGTATCAACTCTATGAAAACAGCACCATCTGGACAAAATAAACATTGCGGGAATGCACATTGAAGATCAATAATTCAATCTGAACAAAGTAAACTTACGTATATTCAGCAGAACAGAATCACGAGGAGGGCTCGAAAACAACTCATTAGTCTCCAACTAAATAAAAAGTGATAATAAGGCACAGGCCCGGTTCTGAAGGTGTTCCAAGTGATCGACCGCACAGGGCCCCCTAAACTTGGGGGCCCCAATTTTTTTTAATCTCCCTACCCTGATTCCCTGATTCCTTCCTCAAAATCCTCCCTCGTGCTTCCCCCTGCCTCTCTCACTTCCTCGTTCTCACTCCAGTCTCTCACCTTCGTTCTCTCTCTCTCCCCCTTCAAAAGAAACCCAAATCCCCAGCTCTCTCTCCCTTCGCCCGTTTCCCTCACCGTCAGCCCCCATTCCCGCTCCGACCACCATCAGTCCGAACCCCAAGTCCCCGCCGTCGCCAGCTCCACCAACTCCACCCCCGCTCGAGCGGCTAATCCTTTACCAGATCTCAGGGGCTTATTGAAGACTTGGAGCTTGAGTTGAGGTTCCCTTTTCATTTTATCATCTAATTTGAAGTTTTAACCGCCCATTTAGTGAAGAAGCTCTTGGGGTTGGTGACCCAGTTCCAAAATGATAACTTTCTTGATGGGGCTTCTTGATTTTTACTTATTACAGTCGGAATGGGCAGCAAAATTTGATCTTAATTAAGTTGAAGGAGATTGTTGGAATAATGATAAGCTCAGTACCTGGGTCCATTTCATTTGTTGTTATTTCAGTGGGGAGTATAGTTTCATGTATTATGATTGCATCTATGTTTATTAACTACAATCCTACTGGTTTTAGTTTCAACTCCATAGTTTCTGAACAAGGGCAAGCTATAGTCGAGCCCCTCTCCTACCGAGCTTCCCAGACTCCCAGCTCACTGCCGACCAAGCCCCGCCCTGAGCTCCGCGGCACATCTTTACCCTTACATCGCCGGAGATCCCCATGGGTAAATCCGTCAACTTTCTTATTTTCCCTCTTCTCTCATTTTCCGATCTCCCATTTTCTCACTTCCCCCCTCTTTTTTCAGCTGGACAGAAGATCAAGGTCGGAATCATCGGTGAGTTTATTTATTTATTTTTTATTTTTTATTTTCATCTCAGTGAGTGATTCTGTGCTTAGATCGATATTTGAATGGTCGTCTAGTTTATTTTTGTGAATTCTAGGCTGAAATCGCTCTTATAGGTTGTTTTGTTTTGTTTTTTGGCTAGGATTTGGAAGGATAGGGCGATTGGTTGCCAGAGTGATTCTCCAAAGCGAGGATGTTGAGCTCGTGGCCGTCAACGACCCCTTCATCGCCACCGATTACATGGTATATATAAATTTCTACATCTATTGATGAATTTGTTTCCATTGCTTGATTTTCGATCATCTGATAGATCCAGCGTTAGATTAGCATCAGATCTGTTTGTTTTTTATTTTGTAATCATGTGATTTATATGCCTTAACTTTACTTGTGTGATCTGTGCTAAATAGAATTTGGAGGTATTATGTCCTCTCGTTAAAAGATTTTTTTTCATTTTAAAACAATTTAGATTGTTTTTTTCATTTTAAAACAATTTATTGATATTTTGTATATAGAGAAGTACCATGTGTTTACTTTTCGCACAGGGCCCCTAAAATCTCAGAACCGGCCCTGATAAGGCATCTAAATGATAAGTCTCGGCAAGAGTCTTACTAGGAACTGTTTATTTAACCATGAAACGGAAATATGACTAGATTGCAGTGTAAATCTCAAACCAAAAACAACTCCTCGTATCTAGTCTCCAACTAAATAAAATGTTAATCGAAGAGGCTAAGCCCCAGTTCTTCATCGGACTCATCAACTTGCTCCTCCTCCTTCTCTTCTTCCTTGGCAGCAGGTGCAGCTGCAGTTTCTGCAAGAGAGGCAGTCACAGAAAACTTGCTAGGGTCCTGCATTGGACGTACAATTTTTCAGCAATCACATGCATCATCTTTGGGAATCAAATGTAAGGATAATAATGATAATAGATCATAATAGTAGCATATGTATGCATGTATGTACCTTAAGATACTCCTTGATTTGTTCAGCTTGTGGGAAAGTGAATTCAGTGGCAACAGAAACAGCAATAACGTTCTTGTAGGAATTAATGAACATATGGGGTGATGCTGCGAGGGTTGGGTAAGAGAGGCCCAGTGACAGCGAAGCAACCATAGAAACACCAGCTGCAAACTTTTCAACAAGGTCTTCCTCGGTGAGATCCAACACCTCAGGACTGAAGACGGAACCATTGTCGTAGACTGATACCACAACAAGGCCATAGGAGAAGGGCCTTATCCCAAGCTTGGCAAGGAGAGCTGCCTCCGAAGACCCCACCTTGTCACCCTTCTTGATCAGCTCAACTGGTGTGATGATTTCAACTGTACCCTTGTTGATCTTTGTAGGGATGTTAAGCACCTGCGACCACAGCATCAACCCCAAAAGATAATTAATTTTAAAAGCTGGAATTTTCATTAATTCTTGACTAACATCTAAACACATAATCAACTAATAGGCCTATTTATGTATTGCTATTACCTGAAAGAAAGAGGTCTGCGAGGGGTCCAAGCCAGTGTTACCAGGAGGAACAACCACATCGATGGGAGCAACAAGCCCAACACGAGCAGGGCTCCAACCTGATGATTCGTGATAAGAAATGAGCATCAAACAACACTAGCAATGCTAATCACACAAGCATTAATTAAAGTTCCCCCTTTGATAGCTGGATGCATGGTACTTTTGCAACCAGGTTATGTATGCATAGGCTTGAGAGACTATCAATGCATCCATTGTCCTACAGGAAGATTTAAGCATGCCAATGACAATAATATTTGAGGGGGGGTACTGGTCAATAATAAAGTTAAAATAATAGAAACACTTGAACCTTTAACCAATTTATACTCATATATTCTGACAACTACACTGCTAATTAGCCTGGTATGAAATTTATGTATTTAATGTACATGTGGTATAACAAAACTCTTCATTTGAGATCTGTAATGTCCCCATCTTTAGTCCCACATCGGATGTGTGGATCAGTTTGAGAGAGCGTAAAAGTGAAGTTGTGGAATGCAAGTACAGCATCTGCTAGCTGATTTTGGCAATGGATCCTGCACTTTAGTTAGTCACACAGCTTACATCGCCCCGACGGGGCTCATAGGTCGGGGCCATGACAAGATCGTAGACAAAATAGCTGCAAGACCTGGGAAAGTGTGCTCCAGCTGCTAGTGCATGCATATAGCAAACTTATCTCGGCCCACGATACTGCTTAACGTATGTGGATTTCTTATGAAAATATTTCCATATAGAAATTAACAACTCAAAGCATTCCTAGGCATGAAAGATCATCAAGTAAATCACTTTCTATAGATTATTTTCCTAGAAACATTATGTTCAGCTAGCTGTTAGAAGCTAGATTATTGGCCAGGATTAGACATTTGGCGTATCGAGGCTAATGTTGAATTGAAGGCAAAACCTGCATTCAGTACGTTTAGCCCCTCTTGGCTCAAAGGCATTAGGTTAAAAGGATGGTTAATTTTTAAGTGTACGTGTCTGTATTTTTCTTTTTTGGAGTAGGTTTAGAATCCAACGGAATTTATTAAGGGAAAAATGCTTCCAGCCCCCAAAAGATAAGGAAACGTGCTTTCCACCTCCAAGACTTTATCAACGGGTGTTTTACCCCCAAAAATAAAGATTATGTTCTCTGAACCCCCAAAACACAAAACCCAAGACATTAAAATATGTGAAGACCATAATACCCTTCTCTCTCTCTTTCTTTTTTTATTAAAATATGATGAGCATTATTTTATTATTTTTATTTTCTCTCTCTCTTTATCATAAAGTATTGAGATGATAGTTGAAATGATTGATGAGGATTATTTTATTATTTTTATTTTTTATTATTTTGGTTGTTTGTATTGGGAGATTGTTAAAGTTACGGGTTAATTGTTAAAGTTATGAATTAATTGTTAATGTTACGGGTCAATTGTTAAGATTATGAATCCTCTCTCTCTCTCCTTCTTTTTTTATTAAAATATGATGAGGATTATTTTATTATTTTTATTTTCTCTCTCTCTTTATCATGAAGTATTGAGATGATAGTTGAAATGATTGATGAGGATTATTTTATTATTTTCGTTTTTTATTATTTTGGTTGTTTGTATTGGGAGATTGTTAAAGTTACGGGTTAATTGTTAAAGTTATGAATTAATTGTTAATGTTACGGGTCAATTGTTAAGGTTATGAATCCTCTCTCTCTCTCTCTCTCTCTCTCTCTCTCTCTCTCTCTCTCTCTCTCTTTCTTTCTCTCTCTCTCTTTATCATGATGTTTCTTTGATGATATTGAAATGATTAAAGAGAATTATTATTTTATTATTTTCGTTTTTTATTCTTTTTGTATTTTTAGAATATTCGTTGTTAAGGATAATGGTTGGTTGTAAATATTATGCATTGATTGTTAAGGTTACGGGTTGGTTGTTAAGGTTAAGGGTTTGTTGTTAAGGTTATGGGTTTGTTGTGTATGTTACGGATTTATTGTTAAGGTTACGGGCTTAATTGTTAAGATTACGGGTTTAATTGTTAAGGTTACATGTTTAATTGTTAAGGTTACGGGTTTAATTGTTAAGGTTACGGTTTATTAATTGTTAATGTTACGGTTTAATTGTTAAGGTTACGGGTTTAATTGTTAATGTTACGGGTTTAATTATTAAGGTTGCGGTTTTAATTATGGGTTTAATTATTACGGTTACGGTTTTAATTATTAAGGTTACAGGTTTAATTGTTAAAGTTACGGTTTATTAATTGTTAAGGTTACGGTTTAATTGTTAAGGTTATGGGTTTAATTGTTAAGGTTACCGGTTTAATTGTTAATGTTACGGTTTAATTGTTAAGGTTACTGGTTTAATTGTTAAGGTTACGAGGGAGAGAGAGATGAGATCCATAACCTTAACAATTGACCCGTAACCTTAACAATTAAACCCGTAACCTTAACAATTAAACCCGTAACCGTAATAATTAAACTCATAACCTTAATTAAACCCGTAACCGTAACAATTAAACTCATAACCTTAATTAAACCCGTAACCTTAACAATTAAACCCGTAACCTTAACAATTAAACCATAACATTAACAATTAATAAACCGTAACCGTAACAATTAAACCCGTAACATTAACAATTAAACCCTTAACCTTAACAATTAAACCCGTAACCTTAACAATTAAACCCGTAACATTAACAACAAATCCGTAACCTACACAACAAACCCATAACCTTAATAATAAACCCGTAACCTTAACAACCAACCCATAACCTTAACAATTGTTGATATATTAGTATTAGTTAGGGACTTATTTGTAACTTGTGTAAGGGCCTATATAAAGCCCAAGAGATCTCATAATGAATTAGGATTTTTCATTCACAACAACAATCAATGCATAACCTTTACCACCAACCATTATCCTTAACAACGAATATTCTAAAAATAAAAAAAGAATAAAAAACGAAAATAATAAAATAATAATTCTCTTTAATCATTTCAATATCATCAAAGAAACATCATAATAGAGAGAGAGAAAGAGAGAGAGAGAGAGAGGATCCATAACCTTAACAATTGACCTGTAACATTAACAATTAATTCGTAACCTTAACAATTAACCCGTAACTTTAACAATCTCTCAATACAAACAACCAAAATAATAAAAAACGAAAATAATAAAATAATCCTCATCAATCATTTCAACTATTATCTTAGTACATCATGATAAAGAAAGAGAGAAAACAAAAATAATAAAATAATCTTCATCATATTTTAATAAAAAAAGAAGGAGAGAGAGAGAGGATTCATAACCTTAACAATTGACCCGTAACATTAACAATTAATTCGTAACCTTAACAATTAACCCGTAACTTTAACAATCTCCCAATACAAACAACCAAAATAATAAAAGACAAAAATAATAAAATAATCTTCATTAATCATTTTAACTATCATCTCAATACTTCATGATAAAGAGAGAGAGAAAACGAAAATAATAAAATAATGCTCATCATATTTTAATAAAAAAAGAAAGAGAGAAGGGTATTATGGTCTTCACATATTTTAATGTCTTGGGTTTTGTGTTTTGGGGGCTCAGAGAACATAATCTTTATTTTTGGGGGTAAAACACCCGTTGACAAAGTCTTGGGGGTGGGAAGCACGTTTCCTTAGCTTTTGGGGGGTGGAAGCATTTTTCCCATTTATTAATTAGAAATATTCCTATACTACATACATAGGTTCTGAATAATTCAATAAAAGGAATGAAAATATAAGAAAGAATAGTCTTTTACAGCATCAGAGAATTGTGGTTATTTAAAAAAAAACAAAGATTGCATGTGTAGAATTACGCTAGAATCACAAGTTATATAGGAACTAAAACACATATACTACCACATATTTGCTCTAACGCAACGGTTTATAACTGTCGCATTAGCATCTAAACCGTTACAGTTGCTCAAGCGCAGCGGTTATTAAACTGTCTTCGTTGCTGCCGTTGCCCTAGACATAAGGCAGCTGTTGCAAAACCTAACGCAACGGTTTCTAAAATAAGGCTAACGCAACGTTTTTTACAAAATGCAACGTTTTTTGTAGCGGTTTACTGATGCCTAATGTAGCGGTTCCATACACAAAGGCAACAGTTATTACAAATACCTAATGTCTCGGTTTCATACACAAGGGCAGCGGTTTTTCCAAAATCAGAGACCAAAGGCAACAGTTGTTTTGTAGCTAATGTGACGTTTTGCTTTGCTATGGCAACAATTTTATAAGGCTACAGCAACAGTTTTATAGGGCTATAGCAGCACTTTTCAAGAAATTTGACCAATAAGCAAACACAATTATGTAAACCAAAATAAAAATAAAATAAGAACACACTACATTAAGATATCATCAAAATAAAAAATAATGAAGCATTCATATGTTTTAAGCCCATCATTCAAAAATAAATAGTTACAAGACAACTTCAACCCATCAAAATATGATCAATTCACAACCATCAAAATATGATCAATTCACATGTACAAGTCTGTTCCAAAAGATTCATACAGCATTCTCCTATTTAAATCTTTATATCACCTGCAAAAAATAAAAAAACGTATCAAATAGCATGTTAGCAACAAACTGAAAAGGTAATTTTTTTAAACTAACCATTACTAGGAAAAAAAAAGCAATATCGCACCTACTGAAATGTCTATATATACTAATAACTTACTGCCAGCTCCTCCCACAAGCTCTTGGGCTTCTCTTAGGAACTAATGCCTACTTCCCAGTTCTCAAATTAATGTTTTTATTTGACCTTGTCCAAAACCTACAATTTTGCTCCATACAAAAAGAAAAAAATAGAAAAGCCAAGCAGGAGGGCAGGAAAAACATGTGTTTCTCCCTTTTCTCGTGTTTTCATTAGTTGAATTTCTAGTTACGTTTCTGGAGTAACAACTAGCCTCATTAAGATCATGAAGCTCATATCAAAACAGGGCTTAAATGATAAACCATTTTGAGAACCATGCGTAGACCCCAAGACCCAGATGGTTTTATTCTTGGAGAGTGGTTCGGTTGTTGGATTGAAACATCGAAACCACATCGATGAAAGAGTCAAGAGCTTTCAAAAAGGTTCCTTTGAACTAAAGAAATACCATACGATGGATTTGGCAGACCAGTATACACATACATCCCTCCCTATTTGCTTTCAGCCTGCGTTCCCGGAAACTGGCGACCTTAAGGGCAAAAATGGAGAGGGAAATGGGGAGGCACTCTGCTTGAGTGCCACTTTGAGTCTGCTATTTGGAATCAAAACACTCACCTATATACTACTCACGACGAACTTAATACGTTGTGTATAAGTACGGAAATCATAGCATGGTAAGAGGGTTAACTTGCACATATCTGTAGCATTTCAACTAGCCTTGTGTAAACAACTTTACAAACAAAATGGTGGAACATTACAGAAGTAAATCTATCACCTTTCATGACTGCTTGAATCAACAGATACTTCTGCAAAGTTTTCTTTTTTTTTACCATCTTAATCGTCCTATTTTATTCACAGTTCTCATCTTTCATTTAATTAATTTATTTAGTTGGAATTCTCCAACTTATACCTCAACAAAGGTAAGTTTGCGGCTTTGTCTTGAAGTCAGCATGGTGGTATCGCAACTAGACTACAATTAACTCGAAGACTTTACTTGCCAAGATACCCAGGAAATCAATGCTCTATATCACAAAGGCCGTTACTAGAGCAAATATATGTCTGTTTGAACAGTTTTACTAGGCATCTCTATTATTGCAAATTTTTCCATGTCAATAGAATTTGGACACCTTCATGTAAACAAGAAAGGGATATAAGGTATCATGGTACTAAAAAAGGAAACTGATTAAAAGTAATATCTAGAAAGGATCACAAGAAGAAAAAAACAAGAAGTCCTAATGGGTCTGCGTCTAAGTCTCAGCATTGAGTATAGAATAATAATTGCCTTCCCCTCTCCCAATGCCCACACCAAATGCTATCAAACACGAAAGAAAGAGAAAAGAAGAAAGATACAGCATGAAAAATCAGAAAGAAGACAATTGAAAGATGATGCACAGGTAATTAGAAGATATAATCATGTTTAAAGAGAACTGGAAAACTGCATTTATATGAAAGAAGACCTTACCGTAAATGAAGAGCAATATAAGGGCTTCCACCTTGGCGCATCCTTGAGATTAAGGTGGCACCCAGCTCTTGAATTGAGCCTGAATATTTCAATGCTCTGTAGTTTACACGACATCTCAGCTTCTGAACAGATGTTGGAAGTCCATTGTTTGTCAGTCGGGAGTCTGTATGGGTGAAGTACGTAACCTTGTGTTGTTTCAAAAGTGGGAGAACATCTGATTTATAGTAATAGACCTGAAGATAGAGATTTAAAGTATCATGAATACATAAAATATCAAGTAAAAACAGAATACATCTTTCAGTGATCAGTATTGGTTTTTACCTTAGACCAGGATATAGGGGCCTTTGTAAAAGGTTCAATTTTCTCGTGTGAAACTGGCAGTTTTTCAACTATGTGAACCTCATCCTTTAAGGTCTTAATGAAATGCTTCCAATAAAAAAGATCCTTGAAGTCGCTGTAGCCTGTAGGAAGGGAAAAGATCTTCAGATCCAAATTAGCACATTGCAGTAATTTAACAGACTGAAACAATTTCGAGAGAACAGCTGTGAACCTTTCATCTGCCCAGTAGAAGTGATCAAGTGACAGGAGAACTAGTGTTGCCTTCATGATCTTAGCAACGGCAACCATATCACAAATCTGTATTCAGAAATATGATTTATCAGCTACTGTGTTATAGCATTTTACTTGCAGTTTATATAAATCTAAAGATACAAGTCACACCCCAAATCTCATCTGATTTAAGCCCCCATTCGCATTTATCAGTAGGTAACGATTGGTCTTAGCATCCAGCTCTGCAAAAAATCCAAACCTTGAATTTCATGGGAAAAAAGAAGAATCCGACAATCTAGAAAGCTTACTTTTTTGGTGATCCACATGGCCAATGCACTGCGTGAAATTTTCACTGTTTGGCTTGGCTCATATACCTTTAAGCTGAAAGTTGAAAACAATGTTAGTAAATTAATATATGGGTCTCTGGAGCTACAAACAAAAAAAAAGAAGATCACGACAACTACATCAAACATGACTTGCCTCAACAAAACCATTTTGATATCCTGCTCCTGATGATACCGTTTTCAGAGTTCTTTCACTGTCACTAAGCCCCCTATGCCCATGGTCATGAGATATTTGAACCTTTTGACCAGAAAGTTGGGTGCCAGATAAATCCTAGTAATCACCCAAATTAACACCTTGAATATTTCTTAAGTCCATCCAAAGAGTACAATATAGGAATCAGAAGTTAAAATCTTCACAATAAACATGTTATAGAAGTTGAGAACGAGGGAGAAGAGAAGGAGGGAGGGAGAGAAGTGACCAATACAGATTATCGGATGATGTCATGCATATATTTGAGCAAACCTAAGGATAAACATAAATTGGAAGAAGCAACAACAAAACGATATTGGTTTAAATATTACAAATGCATACAATAGGACAAAGAACTAGCGCAATGGCTTCCAACTTTTCCAGCAAGCTTACTCGCCAAAAAGTTAAATAATTCAAGTGTTTGAGAACTAATTAAGAATCTACCGCTATTAGTGGCTAGAATATTTAGTATGGGAAGCTGTCTAAATTCCTCTCCCTCTCTGTCTTGTTCCAGAGAGTGAAAGAAAGAAAAGGTAATGAGCGAGAAACTTACTGCTTTTCTGCAACAATGTAAAGTCAAAGAACTAGAAGGAAATGAAGTGAAAGACTGGAAATATCTATATTTTCAAGGAAAATGATAAAAGGACGAATGGAAGAGAAAGGACACAACCTGAGGTTTAATAGCTCGGTAAATCTTTGAGAGTTCAAGGTGTCTCAGTCAAGCCTTAATAACAATTGATTGAGCCCACTTATTTTATATATAAATCTCTCAACAAAATTTGGGTTTAGAAAACCTTTAGTAAGATATCAGTGATAGGATGAGCACTCTCTCACCTGATGGTGACAACACGCGTTAAGGAACAAGCTATTTTAAATAGTTCGTTCAATGTTCAGTTCATATGTCATTTGGCATGTCACTTAATAATCTAGCTAAAGCTTGAACCTCATGTTGATAAAAAATTTCCAGCTTGAATCAGTCCTACATCTTATATTGAGTAAGAAGATACCTAGACTTCTCTTCATGCATTATGCAAAGTGCTAATATCACTATTTGTCAAGTGCTACAAGTCACTAATCTCGAATTTTAACTAGAAAAGGATTGATTAACAGGTAAACAAGCAATCCTAAGTCAAACTAGGATAATCTCCATTGCCCAAGTCAGAAACCATGTTCTCCACTAGCTTAGAAACCCTACACAAAATTATCATTTACTCCAATTGAGAATGATGTCACTGAGTACCTAAGACATCATGTGTATAAGCTTATAATATTTGTGTGAATCAATAACATTCTTTAATTTATGAGCAATAATTATTACAAAAACTGAACATCTAATATTAAAGAGAATCAAACAAACAAACAGCTCATCCTAAGCTTAATATAAAATAAGTCAACTTCAAGCTCAAATTAACTCAGGTTGATTTCAATCCCAGCCTAATAGAAACCACGTATTTATGAATCTAAAACATAGCAACAAAACAATTGCATAAAATTTCAGATAAATCCTAAATTGTTTCTTCAAAACATTAGTTTATGCATAGGTCAGTTCCTTGCCTGTGTGCATCATTTATTTTTATTCTCATGCCCATGAATATGATAACGAGAATTCTGGTTTCGCTTACCTGCCAAATCGAATTCTTCCTCGATTCCATGTCAGCTAATTTTCCTCCACTACAAATTTACATGACTGACAACAAATTTCTGTGAGTGTATATATGCAAAATATTCAGTGGTTAAATTTACATGACTGACAATAGAGATGCTCGCCACAAAAAAATTTATCTGGCACTTCTCCACTTTAAATTACATCCAAATTCTAGTAGCATTAAACCCAATATATCAGCTTGAAACCAGTGAAAGAAAAATAAACGCATTCATTCACACCAAATAAATCATCAATGGAGATAACTAGTTTCACACATTATTTCTGATTTTCACACATCAAGACATCAGTGAGTTCACAATCACAAATTAACAAGTAAAATAAAACATACTTCCAAGAGACAACAAATAAATCCAATTTTTTTTAGAAGAAATAGCTTTTATGTTGAGGAATCTAACCTCAGGGATCGACCTAGAGCTACAGATCGATTAATGTAGCAATCAAGATTATCCACAACACCTAAGAAGTGAAGAAGAGATTTCTAAAAATAGAAAGGGGAAGAAATTGTAGAAATCGGAAATGAAAGGAATTGAGTACCTGAGAGTCCAAAGGAGAGTGATAGCGATGAGACCAATGAAGAAGAACACACGAACAAGATTGGAGACGGATTAGCTTCGAGCTCGACGACGAAATCGGAGTTGAGATCGGAGACGAGACCAGCAGCTCGACGACGAGATTAGCTACGAACTCGACAACGAAATCAGAGTTTCGATCGGAGACGAAACCAGCAGCTCGACGACGAGATTAGCTAAGAGCTCGACGACGAAATCAGACGGCGAAAAGATTGACAATGAAAGAGTAAACCCTAGAAAGCTCAAAAACCGGATGATCTTGGCCACAACGATTTTAGGGAGCGGAAAATTTTGGCAACGATTTTAGGGATTTCATTTGAGAGAGAGAGAGAGATTTCGTTTAAGCGGTCAGACCATGAGCTTTACAAACTTAACTCTCAAACCCACGAACAATTATTAAGTCTAGGAACAATTATTTGGTCTACGGCAACGTTTTTCATTAAATGTTGTATTAGGCACTGCAAACCGTTACGATAGATATCTAACGCAACAGTTAAAACAGTTGCGCCTTAACCGCTGCAAATAGATCAATTATGTGGTAGTGATATTTGCTCAACATAAAAGCATCAAAGGAGCGCAAGGCTCCGCCTCGTGTTGTCGACGGCATGAAATAATAATAATAATAATAATAATAATAATAATAATAATAATAATAATAATAATAATAATAATAATAATAATAATAATAATAATAATAATAATAATAATAATAATAATAATAATAATAATAATAATAATAATAATAATAATAATAATAATAATAATAATAATAATAATAATAATAATAATAATAATAATAATAATAATAATAATAATAATAATAATAATAATAATAATAATAATAATAATAATAATAATAATAATAATAATAATAATAATAATAATAATAATAATAATAATAATAATAATAATAATAATAATAATAATAATAATAATAATAATAATAATAATAATAATAATAATAATAATAATAATAATAATAATAATAATAATAATAATAATAATAATAATAATAATAATAATAATAATAATAATAATAATAATAATAATAATAATAATAATAATAATAATAATAATAATAATAATAATAATAATAATAATAATAATAATAATAATAATAATAATAATAATAATAATAATAATAATAATAATAATAATAATAATAATAATAATAATAATAATAATAATAATAATAATAATAATAATAATAATAATAATAATAATAATAATAATAATAATAATAATAATAATAATAATAATAATAATAATAATAATAATAATAATAATAATAATAATAATAATAATAATAATAATAATAATAATAATAATAATAATAATAATAATAATAATAATAATAATAATAATAATAATAATAATAATAATAATAATAATAATAATAATAATAATAATAATAATAATAATAATAATAATAATAATAATAATAATAATAATAATAATAATAATAATAATAATAATAATAATAATAATAATAATAATAATAATAATAATAATAATAATAATAATAATAATAATAATAATAATAATAATAATAATAATAATAATAATAATAATAATAATAATAATAATAATAATAATAATAATAATAATAATAATAATAATAATAATAATAATAATAATAATAATAATAATAATAATAATAATAATAATAATAATAATAATAATAATAATAATAATAATAATAATAATAATAATAATAATAATAATAATAATAATAATAAAAATGATAATAATAATAATAATAATAATAATAATAATAATAATAATAATAATAATAATAATAATAATAAGATGATGAAGGGAATTAGAGAAGACGTGCTAGCTAGTACGGTACGTACGGCGAGCAAGGGGAGGAGGCTGAGGTAGTCGTTGTTGCCCGTGGCCTCGGCGTGGAACCTTACGCATCTCCTGATGAGGGTGTTCTTGCCCATCAGGATGACGGAGTCCCCCGCAGACCCTTCTGAATGTTCTGGAGCTGGCTGGATCCCACGTTGTCAGCCGCTGCGATCAATACCTGGCTGTATTCCTCCAACCAGCTTGCACAGCTTCTTGTCGTACGCCTGCTTCTTCTCCGCCTTCATCACTTTGATCGCCATCTTACCGCGCCGCTGCTACCTGCCTAGGGTTTTGCTAGCCGGCAGAATATATATATAAAAAAAGGGAAAAATGCTTCCAGCCCCCAAAAGCCAAGTGAACGTGCTTTCCACCCCCAAGACTTGGTCAATGGGTGTTTTACCCCTAAAAATAAAGATTATGTTCTCTGAGCCCCCAAAACACAAAACCCAAGACATTAAAACATGTGAAGACCATAATACCCTTCTCTCTCTCTTTCTTTTTTTATTAAAATATGATGAGGATTATTTTATTATTTCTCTATCTCTCTCTCTTTATCATGATGTACCAAGAGGATAGTTAAAATGATTGATGATTATTATTTTATTATTTTTGTTTTTTATTATTTTCGTTGTTTGTATTGGGAGGTTGTTAAAGTTACGGGTTGATTGTTAAGGTTACGGGTTGGTTGTTAAGGTTAAGGGTTTGTTGTTAAGGTTATGAATCCTCTCTCTCTCTCTCTTTCTTTTTTTATTAAAATATGATGGGGATTATATTATTATTTTTGTTTTCTCTCTCTCTTTATCATGATGTACCAAGAGGATAGTTGAAATGATTGATGAGGATTATTTTATTATTTTCGTTTTTTATTATTTTGGTTGTTTGTATTGGGAGGTTGTTAAAGTTACGGGTTGATTGTTAAGGTTACGGGTTGGTTGTTAAGGTTAAGGGTTTGTTGTTAAGGTTGTGAATCCCCCCTCTCTCTCTCTCTCTCTCTCTCTCTCTATCATGATGTTTCTTTGATGATATGAAATGATTAAATAGGATTATTATTTTATTATTTTTGTTTTATATTCTTTTTGTATTTTTAGAATATTCGTTGTTAAGGATAATGGTTGGTTGTAAAGGTTATGTATTGATTGTTAAGGTTACGGGTTGGTTGTTAAGGTTAAGGGTTTGTTGTTAAGGTTATGGGTTTGTTGTGTAGGTTACAGATTTGTTGTTAAGGTTACGGGTTTAATTTTTAAGGTTATGTGTTTAATTGTTAAGGTTACGGGTTTAATTGTTAAGGTTAATAAAAAAACGAAAATAATAAAATAATCCTCATCAATCATTTCAACTATCCTCTTGGTACATCATGATAAAGAGAGAGAGAAAACAAAAATAATAAAATAATCCCCATCATATTTTAATAAAAAAAGAAAGAGAGAGAGAGGATTCACAACCTTAACAACAAACCCTTAACCTTAACAACCAACCCGTAACCTTAACAATCAACCCGTAACTTTAACAACCTCCCAATACAAACAACCAAAATAATAAAAAACAAAAATAATAAAATAATCCACATCAATTATTTTAACTATCCTCTTGGTACATCATGATAAAGAGAGAGAGAAAACAAAAATAATAAAATAATCCCCATCATATTTTAATAAAAAAAGAAAGAGAGAGAGAGAGAGGATTCATAACCTTAACAACAAACCCTTAACCGTAACAACCAACCCGTAACCTTAACAATCAACCCGTAACCTTAACAATCAACCCGTAACTTTAACAACCTCCTAATACAAACAACCAAAATAATAAAAAACGAAAATAATAAAATAATCCTCATTAATCATTTCAACTATCCTCTTGGTACATCATGATAAAGAGAGAGAGAAAACAAAAATAATAAAATAATCTCCATCATATTTTAATAAAAAAAGAAAGAGAGAGAGAAGGGTATTATGGTCTTCACATGTTTTAATGTCTTGGGTTTTGTGTTTTGGGGCTCAGAGAACAGATTCTTTATTTTTAGGGGTAAAACGCCCATTGACCAAGTCCTGGGGGTGGGAAGCATGGTCACTTGGCTTTTGGGGGCTGGAAGCATTTTTCCCTAAAAAAAAGAGAGAGATTTTATCAGATCGTGCTGTCCGTCGCGTGGCGTCGCATCGCATCGCATGCCTATTTATACCAACGGGCCGGGTCCATTCCGCTCTCCAACCCAACTCTTCAAATTCCGCTCTTCAAATTGGAATATTCTAAGAATATTCTAATTTAGATAGTGGAATTTGGAGAGTTGCTCCAATTCTTACTTTCTAAATATTTTTTACTTTTTCTTTGTTGTTGTCAAAAAAATGCATATAAATTAATAATGTTAGATATAGTTTATAATAATAATTTTTAATTTTAATAATTTATTTTAAAAAAATTTATAACATTAGAAAGGTGTCGCTGAGAGCTTTAAAATAAACCCTATATTAATAATGCAATACAACATATTAAAAAAATAAAATCTGAAATAACAGTGACAATGTAATTTAAGTATTGTAATTTATTATGCTTGTATTTTCTTATGGGGCAAGTTAAATAGATCCCCGTATTTTAAAATTTCATGTATGATACTTATTTATTTAATTTAAAAAATAATAATTTTATAAAATAATACTAAAATAAATTAATCTTAGTTTCATCTTAAAGATCTCGACGAGATCTTTCCAAATATGTAATGATTTTAAATATTAGATAACGTATTCTAATCAACATCATCAAACACTACTCAAATTAAGGATCCAGGGCTTCTTAATTAGTCTTAATCTTTTATTAACTCGTACGTGTCACCAGATAACGTATTCTAATCAACATTCGTTTTGACATAATTTTTTTTTGAATGAAAACATATAAACCTCACTTTTTTTCTCTTTTCTAGTCAAACATTTATCGTTCGGCTTAGGGCCTGTTTGTTTCACCAATTTTATGGAATAGAAATGGTATTTGGACCTGATAGTGGTATTTTCATAATTAATGGATTCCAAATGAATCCTAATCCTGGGTTTGGTTCAAAAAAATGTATAGAATTGCTAATCTATAAAGTGGCTTAAACAGTTAATATTTTAGGAAACTCAAATCCTTTCCATTTGAGAGGAATTGGGCGAGATTTCTGACACCTCTCCTCTTTCTTATTCCGATTCCTAATCTATGAAACCCTAGATCTATTGATCCGTGGTTTCCCCGCTGTTTTTCTCCCGCCACAGCGCTCTCTTCTTCGCATCTCTTCTTCGCTTCTCTTCTCTCTCCGCTCGTCGTGGCTTGTGCGTGGTCGTGTCTGGAACTCGAAACCCTAGCTCTGGTTGAGCCATGATTTTTTGCAGATTTATATGTCGAATCGGCTTCTCCCTCTAATCTGATCTCGCCTTTTGTTGAGCCGTGATTTCTTTGATTTGTTTTCCAACTTCTTGTTGGTGGGCTCCTTGGCTTTGGTTGTTGGTGATCCCTTCTCGAACTTGTGTTGGTTCGGGTGGGTTTCGAAGCTACGGTGTTGATCCTGGCTTTTGTGGGTTTGTTGGGTTTGTTGGGTTTGTTGCTTGGACGTCGAAATTTTTTCCCCTCTGCAGCTCAAGGTATATGATTTTCCCCCTCTTTTTTGTTTGTGATAATTCATTATTTGGGAATTTTAACAAAGAATAGGGTTATGTTTACTAAATTTCAGTTAGTTGTGTGAAATAGAATGCAATTGTTCGCATCGATATTGTTCTATTTAGTTAGTTGTGTGATAAATTTAAGTTATGATTACTAAATTTCAGTTAGTTATGTGGAAATTTCAGTTATGTTTACTAAATTTCAGTTAGTTGTGTGATAATTCATTATTTAGAAATTTTAACAAAGAATAGGGTTATGTTTACTAAATTTTCAGTTAGTTGTGTGAAATAGAATGCATGATATTTGTGTGAATGTGTTGTTCTTGATAATTGTGTTTATTACAAAAGAATGTGAATGCATGAAAAAGAATAGGGTTATGTTTACCAAAGAATGGGGTTAACTTCATTACATGAAAGGAACCGGGTAGTAGAATGTGTTGTTATTGATAATTGTGTGAAATCGAATGCAACACTAGTTAAAATAAAATTCAGTATAATTAGATTTCTTACGATACAAGGAATAAATATTTGTATCAATTATCTAATTAATTTTCAACTGAAATAAGTAGACAAGATAAGTTGTAAATATATGCTAATTTTAAAACGGATGTAGATGGATATGGAAGATGAAGAAGAATTAAAGAGGATGTGTGCTAATACAGCTGTTTGCACCGTGGTCACTTTGGTAACATGTATTTTGAGAATGCGTGCTAAGCGCAAGACAATATTAACTTGTACGAAGCAAGAAAAGATCAGAAAAATATATTGAGAGAGGCGCACTTCAGATGTGTATTAGAGAGCTATCAAGATAGCTGCCGATCTTATATTAGAATGAGATCGGTGGCCTTTTTTTAAACTTGTTGAAATAATGAAAGCAAACGGTTTATTAAAAGATACAAGACACGTTCAAGTTAAAGAACAGCTTGCTATGTTCCTAAGTATTGTGGGGGCATAAAACTAAAAATAAAATAATAAGAACTGAGTTCATAAGATCAGGGAAAATAGTTAGTAGGTATTTCAATAAAGTCTTGCAAGCAATGAATAGATTACGTGATCGGTACATGAAGCAAGCCCCAAAAGAAGTTCCCGTGTAGCTCATTGCCTTTGGGTTGGTTGCTGTTTTCGCTGGAGCTTGGATTGCTTTGTTGCCTTTGGGTTTGTTGCTGTTTTGTTTTTGAGCTTGTGTAGCTATGTAGGCTGCTATGTTTTAGGTGTTTTGTTTTTCCTTGCCTGTGGGTTACTTGCTGTTTTGTTTTGAGCTTGTGTAGCTCCTTGCAGTTGATATTTGGCAATGATGATGATTAGCGTTTACTGAGAATGTAATCTAATTTACATTGTTTATTATATTCAGATGAGGTAAAAGAGGATGAGATTGCAGCCTACATTGAATTGACAATGTCTAGGCGAGGCAATTCATCCTTATAATGCAATCTGTAATAAACATGTAAGTTATAGGTGGGGCAATCAATTATGACAAGTTAATCTATTACTGAGCCATACAATATCAATTAGAATTTATACCCAATTCCAAAAACAATTTTCATTACATCCTCAATAGTTTTTGCAAGTACAAGTTACATTTGTTATTGGTTTAGCCCATACGGTTCGATGGGTTATTATTAGTTCGGGCCTGTGAATGGGAGTGTAATCTGAGTCTGAGTCGGTCACTGTCGTAAACTCATACCTCCCCTAATCCATTCCCATCTTTGTGTGGGCCTTCTTCTCCCCCTCTCGCTTCCTCACTCGCTTTGGTTGGGGGTAAAAGATAAGGTTTCCTCTCTCTCTCTCTCTCTCTCTCTGTGTCTTGACTCCGTTCTTTTGTTTCCTCCGTGTTTTGATATCTATACTATACTAGTGCTGCTGCTGTCCGTCTCCAAAATGAAGGTAGCTAGCAAGCTATAGAGCCGACTTCACCCCATCGCACCACCGGAAAATTAAGAATTGAAAGGAGAGAGAGAGAGAGAGAGAGAGAGAGAAAGGCGAGGTCATGATGATGATGATGGTGATGACGATGGGTGTTCCTTTGGATTTCTCCTCTCAAACGCAATCTGTTCCTTGCCACTCCAATATTCGTTCATTTGCTCAGCAAGCCTCTCGTCGGAGATTCTCCACACGGAACTGCTGCTGCAGGATGATGATACGGAAGTTCTCATCCTACGCATCTCTCCCCATGTACGTATTCTCCCCTCCCTCAGTATTATTTTCCTATTCTTAATTTTATCTAATTAATTCATTCGTAATCATATGCTAGCTGCCACTGGGCATTGCCCAGTCTTTATCATTATTACTGCTATTATTCCTAATCTCTTTATTTATTCCTCCTCCTCCTCTCTTTGTTAATTTGTTCCCGAACATCCAGGCCAAATCGTAGCAAAAGAAGATCAGGTTTCGGATGCCAAGCAGCAACCACAGAGACAGAAGAACCAGAGAGCCATGACGACGACGACGACGACAAGGTAAATACTATTATTCCTTTCCATTTTCTTCTCTCCGACGATTTATTACGGACGCTTGTATGAACCCTTAATTCTTTCCCTTCCCTTCTACCAAACATATTGTTAATTTTAACCCTGCTCCGGGTTCGTTCGGCTAATCAATGCATGATATGATATGCTATGCTATGATATGATGCCAATTCGTCCACCCGCATCGCAATGCGGACGTCCACCCTTCTCTCTCCCTTCTCAAACTTTTCGCTTTTCCATTTGCTATAAATGCCCTTGTTTTCATGGGAGGACAATAACTTATTTGCAGCCATCCTAACATTTCATCAGAGCAACTTACACGAAGCTGCTGACACCAAATCCTCGGATATTAAGTCTTCGCTTGAGAGGATCGACGGTATACTTGGATCTCCAGGTAGCATCAAGGTGGGCTCCTACCCAAATTAATTAAATCAACTACTTAGTTGAGCATTTCACGTTTTGTACTGCTTAGCTCGTGGATGGTCCTATCTTTTCCTTGCACCCCTGGAAGGGAGATACGTACACTTGCTTTTCTTTGTAGAAAATATTCTCCGTAGGAAAGCAATGACTTATTGCCAGTTATCATCTCATCAGAACAAAGACGAACCTGTTTCCACAGATTCGTCGGCTCTTAAGGATTCGATTGGGAGAATTGAAGGTGTACTCAAACCTCCAGATAGCATAGAGGTACGCTTGTAGTCAATTAATGAATCTGCTTATTTGAGCAGATCACATATAATTTTACTGGTGCTTGTTGCTCACTTGATCCCCATCACTGGATAGAATATTAATGTATGTTTTTGCATATGAAATGTTAATTCTGACCCAGCCACCGGAGAAGGTTGAGGAAATGGAAGTTGCTAGTGGGTCTCCTTTACCAGGAATGAAGGTGAGCATGTCGACAGTAGCCTTGCTTTCTCGGTCTTATTATAGGAACTTTTTACATCTTCTTTGCATAATTCGATACACATGAATCCATCTGATAAAATTTTCTGCATTGAATGTGGACAAATGAATGCAGCAACTTGGTGAACCAATCATGATTCCTAAGGCTACAATTGATATCCTGAAAGATCAAGTTTTTGGTTTTGACACGTTCTTTATTACCAGACAGGAACCATATGAGGTGAGTGCCATTTTTTTGACCTTCACTTACTTTGTTAAAGCAATTTTGCTAGGGTACAAATGTTTAGCTTTTTTCTCATCCTTCCATCCGAATATATTTATATCTTTGTAAATTGAATATTGTTTGTTATCAACCAATCCCAGGCCTTTCGTTAAAACAATGTGCATGTCCTCAGAGCCTCAGACACACCATGGCATCTTTATCTCATCTTGCAAAATTAGGCTCAAATTACGATGTCAGTTGTTGGCAAGTCATAAATAAAAATTTCCATGAATAGCTTCATTCTCTAGGAGTGACATCTAATTTTTGGACAACAAATGGAGTAACTTTCGTGACATATAGTGGAATAAGTCCAGAATATAAGTTCCTTAAGTAATTAAAATTGGGAAAAACTTCTTGAACAATAAAAAGCATCTACAGATTCTTGGGTTTGATCTCAAAGTATCTAAAAAAATGCACCCCATCACAAACAAGCAGGCCTTGTTGAGTTTGGAACTATGTTCTCTTTTTCTATTATATGTTAGGGCTAGTAAGTTTGACCTCCATTCTATTCTAGTTCTAGTAATAAGAAAAAAAAGCTTTATCTTCTTTTTTTAAGAAAAATTCTTTTTAATTAAGAAAAAGTCTTTCCACCCTAAAAATGATCTTGGACAGCGAGGAGTACTGTTCAAGGGGAACCTACGAGGGACGGCAGCCAAAAGTTTTGAAAAGATAACGAAGCGGATGCAGGTGAATTGAATATTGCCACTTCCATGTATAAAATTAAGAATCTGAATATCAGGATATTGTTTTTTTGTAATTTCCAGTACATTCAATTCACAGGATAGATTTGGAGATCAGTATAGACTTTTCCTTCTTATCAATCCCGAAGACGATGAACCAGTGGCAGTAGTTGTTCCTAAACAAACTTTGCAGCCAGAATCAACAGGTAATGTTAACTCTCTGTAGAGCTTTTAATTTTTTTTAATCATTCTCTTGGGGGATGATATGCTTTCCCCAATTTTCTATTCTTTACTGCAAATATACTTTATTGTGCAAAATTTTGAAAACGTTTCAGAGTATTCATTTAAAGTCATTCTTTCATTTTATGTGTCAAGGAGTTAGCATGTGTGAGATATTCTAAACCTTATTGTTTGTTTCTTTGCATGTTGATGATACATTGGATGTGCAGCTGTCCCAGAGTGGTTTGCTGCCAGTGCATTTGGATTGGTTACGATTTTCACCTTATTTCTGAGAAATGTCCCAGCCCTGCAGTCCAATTTGCTGTATGAGGTTTCTTTCATTTATTTCTCTCTCTCTCTCTCTTGTTCCTTAACCTATCAATTCAAGAAACATACATATAGCACTTGTTAGAAATGGTAAATCAGAATCACTTAACTATTATTCATCTGCATGGGTCTATAAATAAGAGTACATAACACATATGGGTAATAGGTTAATGAGCTTAAACCTGATAACCCAATACTAATACTAGTGTGCTAATACCAACACTCCCCCTCAAGCTGGAACATATATATCAATCATGCCTAGCTTGTTACACAGAATGGAAAACACCTTAGGTGAGGTAGCTTTAGTGAGAGTGTAGCTAACTATTCTGAAGACGGAGTGAACTGGAGAGATCATTTTCTTTTCCCAAGCATCTCTGACAAAATTACAATCAACCTCAATGTGTTTAGTTCTCTCGTGAAACACTGAATTCTTTGCAATATAGATAGCTGACTGGTTATCACAATACATAGGCATAGATCCAGCTGAGTAAAACCAAGCTCTGTCAATAGTTTCTGCAACCACATCATCTCACACACAATGTGAGTCATAGCTCTGTATTCTTCCTCTGCACTAGATCGAGATACCACATTTTGTTTCTTGCTCCTTCAAGTTACCAGATTTCCTCCAATAAAAGTGTAAAATCCAGAAGTAGACTTCCTATCTCCTATGTCTCCCGCATACCCAGCATCAGAAAAAGCAGAGATGTGTAAATGTCCATGTTTCTTATACAGTAATCCTTTTCTAGGGTAGCTTTTAACATAAGCTAAAATTCTTAGAGCAACTATCCAGTGAATCTCTCTAGGTTTATGCATAAACCTGCTCAGTACTTCCACTGCAAAAGTAATATCAGGCCTGGTCATATTAAGATAAATTAACTTGCCAATCAATCTCCTATATCGACCTGCATCATCTAGGAGAAGACTATTATCACACTACAAATCCACAATCACCTCCATTGGAGTGCTTGTTGGCTTACACCCCAAAAGACCCATTTCTTCTAACAGATTCAATACATATTTTCTTTGAGATAGAAGCAAACCGTGCTTTTGATACGCTATCTCAATCCCAAGAAAGTATTTTGGTTTTTTCATATCTTTGGTCACAAAGTGACGCGAAAGATACTCCTTAGTCTCTGCCAAGGTAATAAGGTCACTTTCAGTCAGCAGGATGTCATCAACATATATGGTCAGAATCACCAAACCAGATATAGTATGTCGAATAAATACTGAATGATCTGAATGACACCATTTAAAACCGACACTAGATATAGCAGTACTGAATTTCTCAAACCATACCCTTGGACTTTATTTGAGACCATAAATCGTCTTTTTAAGTCTACAGACAGTATTCTCCCCCTGAGCAACATATCCCGGAGGTTGCTCCATATAGACCTCCTCCTGTAAGTCACCATCTAAAAAAACATTCTTAACATCCAGCTGAAACATGGTCCAGTCCAGATTAACAGTCATATAGAAAAGGAGCTGAATAGAATTGAGACGAGCAACGGGGGAGAACGTCTCAAGATAGTCGACCTCATAAGTTTGAGTATAACCCTTAGCAACAAGACGAGCTTTATAGCAATCAACGTAACCATCTGTGCGATACTTTAAGGTATATACCCACCGACAGCTAACCACAGTAGCGCCTGTAGGAAAAGGAATAAGATCCAAAGTCCCTCTAGAAACAAGTGCATTCATCGCCCTCATCCATGGCCTGTTTTCAAGCGGGAACTTACACGGCCTCCTCATACGATGCGGGTATAGATATAGAGGACAAGGACAAAGCAAACTGACGAGAAGATGGAGTAAGACGGTTATAGGAAACAAAATCAGATATATGATGATTAGTACAAGACTATATATCTTTTCGATGAGCAACAGGAATATCCAGATAAGAAGCAAAGTATTAGTAGGAGGCAGACCGGCAACTGGAGATGACTGTTCAGCTGGAGTAGAGAGACAAGAACTTTTGTACGATGAGAATACGTCAGGAGTGGCGGTGGTGCAGGTGGCACAATAGAGTCATCCTATAATCCTGAAGAAGATACATCAGTAGAAGGAACCGAAGTAGACAATAGAATAGTAATAAGAGCAATAGATGGTAGAGGAACACATGGATCAATATTTGGAGATGAACCAGCCGAAGAGAAATATGGAACAGACTCAAAAAAGGTAACATTAGCGGACACAAAATACCTCCTGGTAGATGGATTATAACATCGATAACCTTTTTGAGTACGCGAATACCCTACAAAAACACACTTAATAGACCGTGGAGATAGTTTATCCAGTCCTGGAGACAAATTCTGAACAAAACAAGTACAACCAAAGACATGAGGAACCACAGAAAAAATCTGTTTCTCAGGATAAAGACAGGTAAACGGTATTTTACCATTAAGAATAGAAGAGGACATCCTATTGATCAGAAACATGCACTGAGAACATCATCAGACTACAAATACTTGGGAACATTCATATGTATCATCAAAGTTCTAGCAACATCTAAAATATATCCATGTTTCCTCTCAGGAACTTTATTTTGTTGTGAAGTGTGAGAGCATGAAGTCTGATGAAGAATATCAATATTTGAACAAAAACAAGAGACTTTATTTTTGATGTATTCCAAAACATTATTGGTACGAAGAATACGAATAGAAGTAGAAAATTGATTTTTTATTTCATTGTAAAACATTTCAATGACAGTTGAAACCTCAGACCTCTCTTTTAACAGATAAAACCAAGTCATGCGAGAGAAGTCATCAACAAAGATAATAAAATATCTAAAATCTTTCACAAAAGGTATACGACAAGGACCCCAAACATTAGAATGAACTAACTCAAACACAGAACTGCCGTGTTTATCAACACGACTCTGATAAGTAGCACGATGGTGCTTATCCAGTTCACAAGACTCACAACCTAAAGAAAAAACAGAAGACTAGATAGAAATGACAAACCAAAGCTACGATAACGAGAGATGACCAAGGCGCCAATGCCATAATAAAGAATGATCAAACTTATCTGCAACAAGACCAGTAGCGGAGGAATTGTCATCCAAATAGTATATGCCTCCTCTCTTATGCTCTGAACCAATCTCCATCCCAGTCGATAGGTCCTGAAAAACACAATAAGAAGGAAAGAACGTTACTTTATAGTTATTATGTTTGGTAAACTTACTAATAGACAGTAAACTAATAGAAAACTTAGGAACATATAGAACATTAGTAAGTGTCAACGATGAAGTAGCATAGACTACTTCATCACCAAGAACTGGAGAGTATGTACCATCAGCAATACGGACAGATGAAAACTTGTCAAAAAGATTTAAAGATACAAAGTGGTTATTTATACCTGGCATATTAGATGAGGCACCGGAATCTAATACCCATGGTCTGTGAGGAGATGCAATGTAAGCATCCATACCTGAAGAGGATGCATGAGTAGCAGAATGACTATTCTGAGAGGGAACGAGTTGACGCAGCCGGTCATACTCAGCATGAGAAATCTGAATTGTGGTAGCAGTTGTAGTACTCGCAGGAGAAACAACAGAGGTAGAAGTAATATCAGCCATCTGGACCTATGCAGGACGACCAAACTTTTTTCAGCACTTTTCAGATATATAATTAGTCCTTTCACAATGTTTGTACTGATAGACTCCTATCTGCGTCAATTTATCTTCCACCAAAAGAGCCTCGTCCCCCCTGTGTCGCGGCCACGTCCCCGACCATGACCTCTGCCACGTCTGGAAAACATAGCAGACTAATCAAGTGACGGAGGAGACGGTGTAGGTGGCACAGTAGTAACTCCAGTAGATGTCTGTATAACTCTGAAGAATGTAGTAGTCAAGGAAGGAATGGTATCTCCTCCTAGTATCTAGCCTCGTACCTGAGACTGTAAATTGGGACTCAGACCTGACATAAACTTGGATACTGCTAGGTCCCTACGATATCCCAACAACGTCGGTGCATTTGTAATGGTGAGCTTATGCATCTCTAATTTATCGATCAGACCTTTCAGCTCACCAAAATACTCAGGAACTGACCGATCGTCTTGTTGAAGTAAAAAAGTCATTCATAGAGCTCGAACACGGGATGCATTTTTCTCATTGTCGTACATAACTTTTAAATTATCTCACATCTCCTTAGCAGTAGTCGAGAACATGACACTGCTACTGATCTGCGCTTTCATGCTGTTAAGAAGCTAAGTAATCACACAACAGTCAGCAGAGAGCCATACGGGATACGTAGGATCTGTAGAAGCAGGAGGGGGCCAGAAGATGAGCCAATTTGTTCTGAGCGCCAATGAAGATGCGGAAGGCTTGTGCCCAAAGGAGATAGTTGGTGCCATTTAACTTTACGGTGGTCCCTAAGATAATTTTGGGTGCAGAAATCTCAGTAGTAGTAAGAGTAGTAGTGACAACAGAAGAGATATCAGACATCGTTACTAATCAGGATAGTATAGTAGTAGCGAAGCATGAGAATCTTAATCAGAAAAATAGAACCATCGGAAAACAACACATAGGCAGAGTTGAGAGCAGACCAAAGTCCCAACTTCTTCTTCTTCGTCTTCCTCCTTTTTTTTGTCACTGTTCAGATTAGATCGAACTGAAGGAGAAGGCGGGATAGGATGGGAAAGCAGCAATGGTTGAAGATGAAGGATCCATCGAGGTTGAAGGATGAAGATGAAGGAAGCGGCGAGCTTAGAGGAAGACGATAGCGGCGGTGGCGAGTGTAGAGGAAGACGAGGGCAGCGGCGGCGAGCACAGAGGGAGGCGAAGAAGGCGGCGTCGACGAGGGACTTCGTCGGAGATGGGCTTTGTCGGTGGTGGGCGTCTTCGGCTGATCGATCGGATCAACCGATCAAAGTTGTTTGATCCATTGATTCGATCGGGTCCTTTTTTGTGTGGAATGGAAACTAGGGTTAGGGTTTGGAGGGTGCTTGCTCTGAAACCATGTTAGAGATGGTAAATCAAAATCACTTAACTATTATTCATCTGCATGGGTCTATAAATAAGAGTACATAACACATATGGGTAATAGGTTAATGAGTAGGGGTGCTAAACCGTATCCGTATCCGAGAAAATATCCATAACCGTATCCGTTAGGATACAAATATGGTTACTCAAATCTATAACCGATAGGATATGGTTACGGATATGGTTTTGTAGTGAAATATCTGTATCCGTATTCGAAATATCCGAATACATATTCTTACGATAGTTTCGATTCTTAGATTATGGATTTGTGGTTAATTTTGATGATCAATATGTCTAATCTTAACTTTTCAATTATAATGGACATATTAACAAACTCTTTTGTATCACATGAACTATGTTTTTCTCAATACTATCTAGTTTTCTCATATTTGTTTTGTATCTACATGCATATCCGCTTATATATCCGCATGTATATCCGTAACCGTATCCGATTTTAGCGGATATGGTTATAAATTTTTCTTACCGAGGTATATCCGTATCCGTATTCGTATCCGAGATGGGTAAGCGGATATGGATATGATAAGCATCATATCCGAGTCGTATTCGGACCGAATGCACCCCTATTAATGAGCCTAAACCTGATAACTCAATACTAATACTAGTGTGCTAATACCAACAACACTATTTAGGAGGCCTCTCTATTCGTTGTTATAAAAATCACTCTTTTTGCAGAGCCACTGGATGCATGGGCATGTCTCCAAACTGCATGATTTTTTATTTGTAGAATTTTTGAAGCAGGTTAGAAAGGAAAGGAGTGAATTATCCCAGTTCATTTCATATCAATTATACTCTACATGTCATATATGAAAAATGGAAAATTATATCTTCAAAAAAAAAGGAAAATTATATAAATTTATCTATTAATAATTGAAATTGACTTGGGAACCCCATGGCTCTTGACTCTTGTCATTAGCTTGTTAGTCGCAGACATGTCTTTAATATTCCAAGAATGGTTCTAGATTATGAAGTATCGATAAGTATCCATAAAGCATCTTCATACTTGTATGTATATTGGATATGGGTAGTCATCCTTGGATATGGGTAGTCATCCTCCATGAAGTATCCATACAGCATGCTGCATCGGTTAGGATCTTTCTAGATTATATACAACACTGCCTCCTCACCCTTTTTAAGGTAGAATAGGACCTTAGAATTATCGGGAACTTTGAAATTTACCAGAAAGTCTAGGGGATGACTGGAGACTGCTGCCTCCAAGTGATGTTCATCACTTCGTCACTTGTGCCATGGTGTTGATTTATAACACCATTCTGTTCTAATAAATCGAAGGTGGAGGTTGCTACATGTTGTTAATTTGGAGAGATGGAAACATTATTGTGATCTAGTGGCATAGATGTTGCAGTCTTGAAGGCTCTTCACACGTTCTTTCAGTTGCTTTATGTCTTCAAATTAGTTTTAGATATTGCCCTCATCATCCCTGTCATCAGCTTTTAACTTGTTCTTGCTTTTGTAAAGTTAATTTTTAATTTTTTGTACATCCAATAACGCTTTGTCATCTTTATGCTTGCAGATCAATATTGGATAATCTTGAATTACTAAAAGATGGTCTTCCTGGAGCCCTTGTAACTGCACTGGTTTTAGGGATTCATGAACTCGGCCATATTTTAGTTGCAAGGGATGTTGGGGCCAAGCTTGGTGTGCCATATTTTGTTCCTAGTTGGCAGGTAAATATCATGGTTAATCTTTAACTGTACAATGTTAAGCATTTTATGCCTTACCTTTTTACACGTGTTGTCTACTTGCTTTAACCTTTCTTCTTGTCAGAAAAATGCGTGTTTTTTGTTGATCGAACCGAAGCTATTTATTTATATTTCATACAGCAAGAGAGTCAGCAGGACAATTCCATAGTCCCCTTTGGAAGTCTGATTTCTGTACTTTTCCTCATTTCTCTGCTGCCAATCCTACCAACTAGTCTTCTTTGTTTACCCTCATGATGTATATACAATGCTGGACTGGAGCTTGACTTATAAGCATCTTGACAATCCATGTAAATCGGAAGACTACTGGTGGAAGTAGGAGGAATGTCCTATAGCAAGAAACGAAAAACAAAGAGTCCTCTGCAAACCATAACCTTCCATCTGAGAATTTCTTTCCTACTACTATAAATATTTATTCATCCTTTAGATGATTCTGTGTATGCAATTGACGGTGGAGTGCTTTTCTTTTCCCGTCCTTCCAGATAGGTTCTTTTGGTGCAATCACAAGGATTGTTAGCATCATATCCAATCGCGAAGAACTTCTAAAGCTTGCAGCTGCTGGACCATTTGCTGGTTTCTCGTTTGGGCTTATCCTTCTTCTACTAGGTTTCATCTTACCTCCTAGTGATGGCTTGGGTATCGTTGTTGATCCTGCAGTGTTTCACGAGTCATTTCTTGTTGGTGGTATAGGTAACTACATCATCCTAGCACCGACATTGCAGCACATCAATAAAAACAATCTGTAACCAAGCAAATATATCTTATGTTGCAAATTTTACTTCCATGTGTACTATTACCCCTTCAATTCCGTCTTAATGTCAAACCTGATGGCTGCCACATTGAATTTGAGTATCATGTCATATATGCCATGCAACTACATACCTTTATTTATGACTACAGTTTATGCAAACAAGCTGATATTTCTATATGGCAGCATGTGCGTACATGCTATCACAATCAGTAGTAAGATGCTTTTTGTGTTTCATGTGCATACCCTAACCACATACCAAACAGCACACATCTTGATATAGTCACGTACTGGAAACTTATGGACATTTTTACTCGTTCTACATTCGTTTCCTTGTGTGGTCTCTTCCCATTTAAGAAGGCTTTACTTCTTTTCCTGTTTTTATTTGTAGCAAAACTTCTTCTTGGGGATGCTTTGAGAGAAGGAACTCCACTTTCTGTGAATCCTATTGTCGATTATGGGGCATCCGGGCTGCGGTCTCTATAATGCTATCAATAGCATTCCTGCAGGATGACTCGACGGAGGCCGACATATCTTTTGCCCTTTGGGGCAGAAAGGTAATTCCGTTTCTGATCTTTCTGAATCACGTATATTAAACATGTACAAGCCGACACTTACCTCCAAATCTGTAACCTTATAACTTATTGGTTGAGTTTGCCCAGTTTGCCAAAATTTAACCTTCTTCAATCCCGGTGGTATATTTACATGTAATCTTACTGCTTTTCAAATTCAAGTTACCATGGTTTATGACAGACGTCCGACATCATCGTTTTTGCTTGGAACCTCTCATTCATGATGTTTCTGCAAACAGAATGTCAAGATGGTGGTTGCAAGCTAAGTAGGGAATAGATAAATAAATAAATAAATGTCTCAGGTAGTGAATGCAGTGCCCCACCTAGCTTGAATCATGTGGGCAGCTAATCATAACTTGAATGCTGCATAACTGGCAAGTCAATGAATTGCTGTCTCTGCTCATCACAAATGGGAACACACAAGTACAAAGATTTGTACTATCTTTAAAGGTTTTCTTTTTCCTCCTCTTTTTGTAGCCTGTTTTTGTTTGGATGTTCATTATGAACCTTGGCAATATGTTTGATTATCTTCTTTCCCCATTTTACTTTTTCCTTTTTCTAGTTATCACCAACTAAATTGGTTGAGGCTGTGAGCTTTTGTTTAATTACACAGAGATAGTTGAAACCTGTATTATCGATGTAAGCAATTAAATTCTAAATAAATGGACCTGGATGGATTCATGCATTTGGCTGCTGCAGGCTTCGTCTAGGTTGAGCAGCGTTGCCATAGGACTGCTGGGGATATCATCACTCTTCAATGATGTTGCTTTCTATTGGGTGGTTTTAATATTCTTTCTGCAGAGGGGACCCATTGCCCCTCTGTCCGAGGAGATCACCGACCCACCAAATGAATATGTTGTTGGTCTTGGTGTTGCTGTTTTGTTGTTGGGCCTGCTCGTATGTTTGCCTTACCCGTTTCCTTTCGTCGTGCAAGGAGCTGAGTTTTGATCGTTGATCATCAAGCCAAAGGCAGTAACGCCTTCCTGATCAGATGACGAATCGTAGAATGTATATGTATTTTTTATCATACTAGTATGTATTTTTTGTTGCTGGGGATATCATCAGTAACGCACATGTACTCGTTTTCATATATATAGTTGTTTTACTTTTTGAAAATTGCATGTATACAATACTTGTTGTTTGTGCATTGCATGTATACATACTTCTTTTACTTTTTGAACGTTTCTATGACTTGAAAATGATGATGAAGAGACCTAAAGTATACATTTTGGAATATAGTGTAGTCATATTACTTTTCCATATTTGATGAAATAATCGGGAATATGTTGTAATTATACTAAAAAATATAAAAATCATATATTATAACGATATATCAAACAATTAAATAATAAAATTGATATTATATATGTTGGATATAATTTTATTTGCAAATTGTAAATTAATTTTTTTTGTTTAAAATTAGTAACTAATTTACCTTTAATTTTAAACCTCTAGATACTTGGGATAATTGATGGAAAGTCAATTGTTCAAAATTAACATATGGTGCTAAGAATTAAAGAAGAAGAAATTTTCAAAACAGCCTTAAAACCATGTTTTAATTTTCAAAACCGATCCACTTTTTTTACCAAAATCGAGCCATTTTTTGCCACGTCAGCTTAATCTCATTCCTAAACGGTCGGGGTTGGCAACCCCGACTGTTTAGGAGGTTGTTAAACCCCAATTTGAAGGTTTAAACCTGATTTTTTATATCCAAAATAATCGGGGTTGGCAACCCCGACTAATTAGGAAATGAGATTATGCTGACGTGGCAAAAAGTGAGTCGATTTTGGTATAAAAAAAATGGGTCGGTTTTGAAAATTAAAACATGGTTTGAGGCTGTTATGAAATTTTCTTCAATTAAAGAATATGGTACAAACGTAAATGTCAAAATAAAATTATTTAGTTATTTGAGCTTAAAAAATTAATAAATAAATTAATATTTACTTAATTTGACATTAGAATAATGATTTTACTCAATGCCTGATAAGCTCGAAATTACATTAACAAACTTTTATAAGTTGCACGTGCATTATAGAACTGCTACAAATTGAAGTTCGATCCTCCAAAATAGATAAAGTTTTTCTTAAGTTAAAAACTAAAACTCCTCTTGCTCCTCAATGATAACACTTGCTTCGGGATTAGAAATAAATATTTCAATCACTATTTTTCAAAAGAATACAAAATAAATCCAATAACTCAAGAATTACCATGATTTGAGAATCTTGACCTGTCATGTCGCCATAGTTCACAGAGGCCTAAGACACAAACTCGTGTGACAGATGGTCGCCTGCAATGGCAGTCCGGCGATAGCAAGAAAGGTAAATGAGAAAGATATTTTTGGGCAATTACTGATGGATTTTTATTTCTATTAAATTGATCAGAAAACGTTTGATGGGATCAATGCAATTTAAATATCTTTAATGGAAGAATTATAAAATCATAATTTAATTACATTTAAGACTAACAAACCACTGACATCTTTGATAATACTGCATAAATATACTTTATAGACGTTTTTATTCAAAAAGAATAAGAACAACATTTAATTTTGCGAAGCAAACCTTCAAATGGTATCTTCTTTCTATGATATTCCTTCATCTACACCAAATTGAAGAAGAAGAAAATTAGTATAAATTGAAGAAGAAGAAAATTAGTATGAGAAAAGGCTAATAACTAGAAGAGAGAAAGAGGATGAGATAAGACTTTATATTTATTTTATGAACTGAATGATGTATTGGGTTCTTGAGATTTAAGTACGTCTATGTGCACCAAACCAAAGAAGCAGAAACACAGTAAGCATTTGAAAAGACTAATAATTTGAAGAGAGAAAGGAAGTGACATAATAATATATATATAATTCTAGAAATTTACCATAATATCATAATCTCTTCGACCCTAGGTGTCGGTAGAGTTCACAGTAGAGGTCTCAGAGTCAGACACCATCTTCAACATTCTCGACAGGGGAGAGGCAACAATGAAGGTCCGACGATGGCGAGAAAGATACACACATATATATGGTGATGATGAAATTTTTATATATAGTATAATGATAGGAAAAGAGGAGAACTTCAAAAGTTTTGATTGGATTAATGTCATTTAAGTGGGTTTGATGGAGTTATAAAATCATAAGTTAATTTAATTTTAATTCAACATGCAATAATGGAAATGTAACTTTTGTGTCTAACAACGGTTAGGGTATTCACTGTGAATGAAATCTCTAATGAATACTATGACTTTCCTTCTATAATGATAGGAAAAGAGGAGAACTTCAAAAGTTTTGATTGGATTAATGTCATTTAAGTGGGTTTGATGGAGTTATAAAATCATAAGTTAATTTAATTTTAATTCAACATGCAATAATGGAAATGTAACTTTTGTGTCTAACAACGGTTAGGGTATTCACTGTGAATGAAATCTCTAATGAATACTATGACTTTCCTTCTTAATGGACTAAATATTTGAGCCGGTGCTAGTGCTGCATTATAATAATAGTAAAGGAGGTTATGTGATGGGAAAGTTTTAAGGTTTTAGTTGGATGTCATTAAATAGATATAATGGTACAATTAAAAGAGGAGAATTTCAAAAGTTTTGATTGGATTAATGTCATTTAAGTAGGTTTGATGGAGTTCTAAAACCATAAGTTAATTTAGTTTTAATTTAACATGCAATAATGGAAATGTAACTCTTGTGTCTAACAACGGTTAGGGTATTCACTGTGAATGAAATCTCTAATGAATACTATGACTTTCCTTCTTAATGGACTAAATATTTGAGCCGGTGCTAGTGCTGCATTATAATAATAGTAAAGGAGGTTATGTGATGGGAAAGTTTTGAGGTTTTAGTTGGATGTCATTAAATAGATATAATAGTACAATTAAAAGAGGAGAATTTCAAAAGTTTTGATTGGATTAATGTCATTTAAGTAGGTTTGATGGAGTTCTAAAACCATAAGTTAATTTAGTTTTAATTTAACATGCAATAATGGAAATGTAACTCTTGTGTCTAACAACGGTTAGGGTATTCACTATGAATGAAATCTCTAATAAATACTATGACTTTCCTTCTTAATGGACTAAAAATTTGAGCCGGTGCTAGTGTTGCATTATAATAATAGTAAAGGAGATTATGTGATGGGAACGTTTTGAGGTTTTAGTTGGATGTTATTAAATAGATATAATGGTATAATTAAAGGGCTATCTCTTCATGTACGCTATGTAATTAAGCATGAAGTATTATGTATATGATTTCATGTATATATGTATGAGGGTGTATTTATTACATTTAGTTTTATTTAATTGAGGATTATGAAAGGGATTAGAAGGAGTATGATTTATGATGTATGTATGTGTTATGTATATGCATGCATGTGTTTTATGTATGCATGTATATATTTTAGAGGGTATTTTTGAAAGAAATGTTTTAACATACCAATACACTTTTATAATAGTATTAGATTATGTATGCATGTATATATTTTAGAGGGTATTTTCGGAAGAAATGTTTTAACATACCAATACACTTTTATAATAGTATTAGACTAATTGTAGGGAATGGTGATGTCAGGATCGATTCTAGTGATGTCTGTAAACATCAGATACTCTAATAAATTCAATGTGTATGTAGTTTTGATGATCATCATATCATATCTTATCATATCATACTTCATACTCTCTTTAAAAGCACGAGTTCGGATAAAACTTTCATTGGTCAACATTACCCTTTGCTATTTTAAATATTTTATTTAAATCTTAACCTATCATAACACAATTATATCATATCTTAACACCATGTGAATTACCTATAACTCAATAGTTTTTAAAAATAAGATTAATAAAATACATGAAATATTACAACAACAATAAAAAAACCCAAAAAGTTTCAAAAAAATTACACAAAGTACTCTCAAAAGTTTAAAATTACACAAAACACCCTCATGTATCAAAACTTAAAATAACAAACATAAAATCTAAAAACTAACAGCAACCCCCGAAGAATTTAAAATTTACAATTAACACCCTTATTATTTCAAAAATTGTAAAAACACCCTTAAAAGTTTAAATTACAAAAAAACCCTAAAATTATGAAATTTTAAAATCTTTATAGATGAATTCAAGGTATTACCATCAAGCTTTGAACATAGATCCCCCTTTTTTCACCATAAAAAGCTATTTGTCGCATCATTTATATGAATTATTGTAAAAGAACTAAAAAGTTTTAAAAATTGCATAAAACACCTTTAATAGTTCGAATTACACAAAACATTCTATTTTTTTTAAAACTTAAAACATAAAACATGAAATCTATAAATAAGTAGTATCCCCGTAAAACTTTAAATTTTTAAATTAACAACCTCAAAGTTTTAAAAATTATAGAAACACCCTCAAGAGTTTAAAATTACAAAAAACTACCCTACAATTTGATAAATGTATTGACAGATTAAAATTTAACATTACTGCCAAAATTAAAGTAACTGTATATAATTTTACTCATAAGTTGGAGTAACAAAAATACAGAAGTAGCATTAATTAAAAAAAGACTAAATCACTTAAAATTGATAATAACTTAGCATTAATTGATTATATTTTATAAACATTATTCGCTGATGTTAATAATATTCATAGGGTAAAAAAATACAAGGAGTTATGGAGAAATTGTTGAAAAGTTTAGAGATATTCTTCAAAAGGATCAATTTGTTTTCATTTCAAATGGAAAAGTGAAAGAAATAAACCAAAAATATGAAAATGTACATGAATCAATTGAATTGATATTAACAAGAGACATATCTATCAAAGAAGTGACAACTAATTTTCCCCTAGAGAGTATATTGAACAACTTTGTTTCAATCAAAGAAGCATTTTTTTACAGAAGATATAAGAAATATTAGTAAGTATTTATAAAATTTCATATTTTATTCTTCAAATACTAAAGGAATCATAAATTTATTCTAAAATTACATAAAGATCATCTTCTAATAGCAACTAATGTGAAGTCGTTGATCAACTATATTTAACTAGCCAGACAAGAGGAGGAAAATAACTATAATGAATAAAAGATATACGCATGATACTAACAAGCCATACAAAAAGGAAAAAAATCACTATAATTGATAAAAGGTATATGCATGATACTTACTTAACATAGCTTAAGAAGAAATTTTTTTAAAAATCAATACTTTTTCCTATACAGTGGCATAGTTCTACGTGTAACTCTATTTGGGAATATGACTACTTAAAAAAGATCAATTCTTTGAAGACACGATCAATGATAAACCCATAATAGCAATATTGGATTTCATGATCTCTAAATATAAAGGTAATATATTTCATTATTAAAATTCTTATTAAAGGACACTAAACATAAATTTCACCTTATATTTGTCTCAAACTTGTGGGGGAGATATGCATGTTATTATAAATTGCGTCAAATACATATATATCAACCCAAAGATACGTCTAACTAAAGAGATAAGAGAATGGTAAGTAAACTAAGCAGACATCTATATAACACAATAAATAAACAACTATACATTTTTAAGTTAGTATGCAAAGCTCATTCAGAATAAGCTACCAAGACAAAAACATTTCCATCAAGGCTTTTTATAAATGCAACATAAATTTAAATTAGTGATATTATGTAGAAATCACAACATTCAAAAGAGATATGATCTTAAAAATCTACTTTATAATTAACACAATTAAACCTAATTATAATTTCTCAATATACAGATACTCTATTTCACCTTTAAGGTAAAGATAACTACCACTTATAATAGATTAAGCCGTGGTTTTACGCATGCAAATGCTACAATAAGAAGATGGATATAGATGTTAATAACGAGTGTCCAAATGATACATGTCGCAGAATCGCCGATGACTTAGGATCAATGTTAAGTAATATCCCTTCTTCATGGAATAAACATATCAACCTCAAATTCTAGCATATATCTAAGGAAAACAAACAATGAAAAAAAAATACATGTATTTAGTTAAGATCATCATGAAAAATGACATGGACATTGCAAAAGGCAACACGGTTTGATGCAGTAGAAATTCTTATTAGATGCACAACACAAGAATTCATTACAGAGAAAAAAAAGATCAATCCTAACTTAAGTAATAAAAAAGACCAATCATTACTTAAGTAATAAATTAGGAACACAGAAAAACTATCATATATATGAAATTAACATTTGTTCTCATTGAAATAGAAAAATAATCAAAGTCTGCATTTCTATATGGTTGTGTTGATCAATGGAAAGGCATTCAAGTACTTTTGAAGTTAGATGAAAAGATAAAAGATGAACGAGTCCATAGAAAGATAATAGCATAAGAAATTCAGGTCTAGCTTGATCTCACAATCGACATAGATGATATACTACCCCAAAATTACCCTAGAGAAACATTAAATTGGAGAAGAATTACTTTTGGATCAATAAAAAATAAAACATAAAGAATAAAATACAATATTTTCTGAATATTTTATAGAATAACATAATTTTTTGAGTGAAATTAGGAATATTTGGAAGAGATTTTTATGATTTTTAGCATTAATATTTACTTTATAGTTTTTAATAAATTTTATCAATGATTTGGAATAAAATTCATATTTTAATGCCATTTTAGCCCACTTCTAATCAATCGCAGGGCTATTCGCTTTAAGTATTCATCTTGCTTTCATAACACTATTTTTTCAAGTGTTTTTTTTTGCTTTTGCAACACTATTCTTCTTTAGATAAAGCTTCATTTAATATCAGTTCAAATAACATGAATATTCAAATTGGCTACACATTAGTTTCGTGTAAATTCAATTATCAAGATGAAATTTTAAATTTGTTGTAGTCCATTCAAACAAACATTAAAGAAGATAAATAATCACAATTCTAAAATTTAGAGACATAAGTGAGCAAAAACTATCAAATTGAAATAGAAAAATAAATTTTAGTTGGGAAATAAATTAAAAATAAATAATTATGATAACCACGTGCAGTGCTCGTGTATAAAAAGTATTTCTCAAACGTCCTTCACTCCTCCCTCCCTCCCTCCCTCCTTCTCTCTCTCTCTCTCTCTCTCTCTCTCTCTCTCTCTCAGTTAAGTTGAAACTCATGAGAATAAATTATTGATCACATCATTCATGACATCTTGAAAGGTTGATCGAATCGATTGTTTTTTTGTGTTGCTCGTTTTCTTTTTCTAACTTAATTGGTTTTCTTCAATGGCGCTGAAATTGAACGTGTGCACGTAGAGGTGTGCAACGGTCGGTTCGGTTCGGTTTTTACCAAAATTTGAACTACCGAACCGAACCACCTATAATTCAAAACCGAACCGAACTGTTACAAGTAGGTTCGGTGCGGTTCGGTTCGGTTTGTTCGGTTCTAACTTCATCAAACTTCTTATCAAATAACAAACTGTATTAAAGAAAAAAAGATATCAACAAAGTAGGAGATTATGAAGCATTAAACACTGATATAATGATATTATTTTCAACTCATAATGATTCAGAAAATGAGTTTAGGGTTTGAGTCTTTGACTCTTTGGGGACGGATCAGGTAGGGTTTGAGATCAAAATGGGTAGTATTACACTATATTCGGTCGGTTCGGGTTGAAAAGTTTTCAAACCGACCCGAACCATCCTACTCATAAAACCGATTTTTCCGGGTCGGTTCGGGTCGGTTTGGTCGGTTTTTTCGGTTTGGACGGAACCATGCTCAGCCCTATGTGCACGTGTATTGTCGAACAATATTTTTTTTTTGCTCTTGTCCTACAAATCTATATCTATACTACTTCTAAAAGAGAAAACAAGTGTCAAAACTTTTGCATGACAATTTTACCCCTTCCAATATGCTTAATTATAACTTTATCCTATATTCCTATCTATTTATGGGTATTATATTATATTCTCAAATGAGATTATATTAATTAACTCAACAAAGTCTTGATCAGAACTTGACCCCACTTATTTCTATTTCTATCTTGAAAAAGCTTTAAAAGCTTAATTATAACCTGCCCTTTGATATGCCGCTCCAACCCCTGTTCCCCTCACCCTCTGCCTCTTCAAATTCGTTTCTCAACCGATGAGAAACCGAAGAACGCCCCTCCCTCAACCCCCCGCCCCCACCTGCCTCTCCTCTTACCTCAATTTCGTTCGTTTTTGAAACCCCTCAGTTTTTGCCTTTATTATTAACGGTAATAATTTCTTGGGCTTTACATTTCTTAACCGAAAATGAAAATTTTAGTTATTTGTGGTTGTATAAATACCGTAGTGTCTCAGTTTTGATGGAGTAAAGACAACGTTTATTTTCAATTGTAAGTTTTTGTTATTGGTTATTGGTTATTCCTATTATTGTTATCATTACTATTTCCTTGTTCTTATTTCTTACTCTCTGGTAGCTGTTTGATTGGTTGATTTGTTCATAACTTACCTTGTTCTTTGTATTGAATGATGATTGATGATGTCAGGAAGCTGAGGTTGAGAGGAGGAGTACAAAGCTATCAAGGCAAATTTTTTTTTTGTTATCTCTGTTATCTCGAGTTTTTTCTTACTATAATTGTTGAGAAAAGGAAGATTACATTTATAATTAATTTGATGATAGTCCTGCATGTTAAAATAAATGGTTCAGTTAACACAATTTTGCAATTGCAGAGATATTAAAGTTTTTGAGGGTATTTGTTTGTTGCCATGTTTTCTTTTGCAATTTCTTTTTAAGTAAAAATCAACTTAATGTCATGTTAAAATAATAATTTTTTTTGTTTTGTAATTGCAATTCAAGTTTCAATCTTTCGAACGTGTATCTATTATTTCAACATTGTAATATAGGATTATAGATTTACTGTATCTATTTAATCTCTTGCAAGGTCATAGTTATTTCTTATTGATATAGATTTATAAAGATATAGATTGTGACCATTTACATTTGATTTTCGGACATTCTAAGAATATTGCATATCTTAAAATTAAAATTTCCACCGTATCATGGTTGTTCTGTTAAGATCTTTTATAAGAACCGGAACATTAAATTTTTTTATATATGACATTATGGTTGTTCTGTTAAGATCTTGATCATTAAATAAATAGGTCCAAATTATATAGTTTGATTATCGAGATGCTTGATTTTTCAGAATGCTAATATTTACCATTCGATTGGATTTACACGTTTAGGATCTTAACTCCTAATTTTGAGATTAGATGAGAAAATGAGACTGTATTTCACATAAACTATGAACAAATTCACAAGAATATTTGTGAACCGTATTTGAATCTGTAATTGTGCATTACCAAATATGACATCCAAATGGTTGTATTTTCTTCAAAATGAGGATTTAGAAATCTTGGTTTGACAGTAGACTCCATTAAACATAATATACAGGCAAGTAACTATTCACATGTAAACGAGGTATAAATTTCTACAATGCTAAGTGAAAAAACAACCTGATAGTAAACCTCTAGGGTATTATATTGACTCAACTACATATGATGACTATGCATTAAAAGCTTAAAAGGAGAATTAGACTATAAGAATTAATGCCTTGATTAGCTAAGCATAATTCTGTCAGCAAATACTAAAAACAAATAATACCATTTTATAGAAGAGCCTCTAAACACTTGAAATGTCTTGGCTCCCATACACCTGGTATAGTTTTTTGCTCTTTCGTTGTTTTATTTTTATATGAAAACTTTTTACCAGGCTTTTTCACATGAATGGTTGATTTTGTCAGTACTAAACTTTGCGGTATGCTATAAAGTTTAAGAGAATTCATAGCTTGGTTAACAATAGCACGATAGATGTCATGAAACAAAAGCACAATAGATGGTTGAATGCACGCATGATGTTTATGTTGGAATGAGTGCATTAGAATTTTTTTTTGTCTATGAGTCCTCTTTTGCTCAAAGGTTCCACATTGACTCTTTTAATAAGTTACGCTTAAGATCCTTGCTAGATTATGATTTGCTCAAAGGTTCCTTGATTAACAATTTTTTTCACATCTGTATCAGAATTTGGTTCTCTTCACTCCATTAGACACTTCAATCATAATATTTTTATTTACTTAACAACTGTGTTATTTACTAAGTGATAAATAAAAAACTACAGTGATTCACGGAAGATGAGAGTGTTAGTTAAATTTAAAATGAACTATATGAAAGTGTTGCTGACGCTCACAAATAATTGCATATTATGAGACTAATTTGCTAGCATGATCCTTGCCTGCATGCTCATGTTCATAACCCAAGCTTGCCCTTTGTTATTCCTATTCATACAAGTTATAAGGCATAAAGACTTATCAATAACCTTTTGTTAGAAATCCTTGTATTGAATGCAATCTTTCAGTTAGAAATTTTTAATTGTCATTGAGTAATTGCCATATTAGAATGTAATTAGTTAAAAGTAACTAATATGAAAGAGTACCAATCATGAAAAAGGGTTTGCGGCAACCGATATGATCTCTAAAGTGTAAACACTTATAACTATATTAATAATTTCTTTTGTGCTTTCATAACAGATGTTGAAACGCACAGCACGCAAATCAGTTCCCAAACCATATGAGTTTAAAACTTTTACTAATTCCATTGCAAGAATGAATCTATCGCCTTTAACTGACGGGGGATTTATAGGTATAGCACACTATCGTGTGGAAATAACATCCTTACTCAATCGTTCTGCGGCAATAGGTTTCTCCCTGTTCCGGATGATACATCCAGATGATCGTACAGCGGAGCGTAGGCATATCAGCCTAATCCGAAAAACCCCGATCATCTTCGAGTATTGGTACATCCGCGGTCTCATTGCAAGAAAACACTCGACTATATGATTAACTCTAGAATTGCACAACTAAATTAAATAATTAACCTTAAAAAGGTATTAAGGACATAATTTAAGCTCAAGACTGATTTAAGTATGATACTTTGATTGTAGTGTGATGCTGTGATGCTTTTTTGTTCTTTGTTCTTCATCATATTATTGAAATTTATCTTATTTATGCATAGTTTAGTCAGTTTTGTACAATTTGATGATTGTGAATGGCCTGATTGTTACTGCAGATGGTCATTGAGATCAAGTATGACGATGATGAATATGCACAAGCGTTTGCCATCAAGGTCACCAAGTAGCTGCTCTCTGTTGAAGCGAGAGTCCTTCCTCTACCAATGGTAGTTATTTGATCTGCAATTGCTTTGTTGAATGTCAAGGTGAAAATATTAAATTGTCATTTTTTTTCATGTACACCTCAAGTACCATGATTCTGGAAAATAGAAGACATGCAGTCCAAGAGTGGGCGCGTGGAATATGATCAATAAGGTAAAATTCTCCTTATTATTTAGAACCAGTGAAAATTGTTCTTTTGTTTCGGGGATTGTTAATAATTGTAGATGACTTCCTTGCTTTTTTAAGTACCAGGTGAAAGTCATTTTTTGGTTAATATAGATGGTTATTATTTGTATATTAAAGTCCATTCTTCTATCATGAAAATATTAATTTCTAGCATTTAAATTCTTTTTCCATTATTTGTATATTAAAGTCCATTCTTCTATCATGAAAATATTAATTTCTAGCATTTAAATTCTTTTTCCAGTATATCAACACAGAATATGTTTCTTCTATCATGAAAATATTAATTTCTAGCATTTAAATTCTTTTTCCAGTATATCAACACAGAATATGTTTCTTTGTAGCGTACGTAAGCTTTTGATTTTTTTTAATGATTCTATCATATAAAGAATCTCTTTAGCCATCCTACCTTTTACTTCTTCAACCTTTCCTCTTCTTGCACACAATGTGAAAGAACTAATACGGCTAAACAGGTTTTATTGATGTTCTCGTCTCTAATCCTTGGCTTCAAAGCCAATTCACCCAAGTGGAGCTAATGAGCTTCAATTCTAAATTAAGTTATTGAAAGGAAAAAAAAATTCTTCTTTCATTAGATTCAATATCAAAGTTTGTGCACCTAGGTTTGGAACTTCGTTCTTCACTCTTCTAATTAGGTGTAATTTGTCAGTTCCTCTCTACAAAGGGTGAAACAGGACAAATCACAGTAAAAAATGCCGCCTCTAATGGCAAAGTTGAAGGGTCTTAATAATGTGCTCACTGAGAAAGATATCTCCACAATCCTAGCCGAGTCAAATCCTAACACAAGCAAGAAGATAGATTTAGAGTCATTTCTTCGGGTATTCTTCTTTTTCCTTTATCCCTGTGATAGTTTTCAACAATGTCCTATTGAAATACTATTTCTTATCATTGGATTATAAATTAGATTTGAAAAAGTGGAAATGTTGAAATCTACAGGCCTATTTTGAATCTTCAATCTCATTCAACAGAAAAAGTGGGCGGTAAAAAGAATACTACATCTTTCTTGAAGGTCACAACAACGACGCTTCTCCATACTATTAGTCAATCTGAGAAAGCATCTTATGTGGCACTTATTAACAACCATCTTGGAGAGGATCGATTCTTGAAAAAGTACTTGCCATTAGATCCATATAGAAACGGGCTATTTGACCTTGCTAAGGATGGAGTGCTCTTATGATAAGTTGTTTGTTGTCTTGCTGAACTCTCTCTCTCTCTCTCTCTCTGTGCTGTTGTCAATTTCCATATTGTCGTCTTTTTATTTGTATGATTCTTTCCTTTTGATGGTTGGGAATTTATTTTCCAATTTTAATTGCCAATTTGCCAATTTCAGTAGGAAAAGAGAAATTATAGATTTTTTTATGTAGAATTAGATTCTCGCATCGGTCTCAATAACTTTTTGTGCCGTTTCTTAAATTTTGCTTAGTAAATTGATAAATTAATAAATGTGATTGTTCCATGAACAATAGACGAGAGGGCTATCAACACAAAACACGAGCTGAAGCCATGGGGGAGGAATGAGAATCACGCTCTTTGTTTGAACTATGCGAAGGCTATTGGGTGCACTGTTGTCAATATTGTGGTTTCTTTAAATTTCATGGATTTGATCAGTTGGAAAATGTGAATACAGGTATCACCCCTATGTTTCAAATACTATGGCTTATTGGATGGGAGCTATGTAGCACGGACACGGATCCGACACGGCCATCCGACACGCTGACACGAGGCAAATCCTAAAAAATACATAGGATACGTGTGTTCGACACGTGTGTCCGACACAGACACGACACGACACGGCTTCATGTTATGCGTGTCCGTGCTTCATAGGATGGGAGGATGAAGGGTTAAAACATTTTTCTTGCAATGATAAAGGGTGTGAGTGATTATTGTGGATGTTCAACCAAATTACAAATAAATGTGAGTGATATTAAACATTTCAATTGAAACAAAAGTTTCAGTTCTCTCTCTGAAACATGAATAAAATACTTGATTACTGTTTCCAATTTAATTTACAAATTTTCAAACAAAACAATCGATCAATATTAGAAGCTCTTGTTCACAATTCTGTAACCTCTTGAACCTGTGTGAATCAAAGAAACCTTTTTTCCCCTATTCAACTCTAAACCTTAACATTTTTAAAAATGCAACAACTTGGTAACGTAATTTTTATTATTGCAGCTGGTCGGGTTGACTCTGGGGTTTGTCAATATCAGTGATCTATTTTTTTTCTATTAGGTGGTATAATAAGGCCCTAATTTTTGTTATATCCATGAGTTTCTATTAGGTGGTATAATAGGGCCCTAATTTTGGTTATATCCATGTGCTGGTAAAAGATCAGGATGTTGTCTTCTGCTAAAATAAATCATCAAGTGAGAGAATTATGAAATTTTAACCATACTGGTCAAAGAGAAAACATGTGGAAGATAACGAATAGATTTTATGATTCAACACTGAAAGAAATTTGAACGTGATATCACCTTCACATATATTGTTGGAAATTAACTTCCACTGAATGTTTTTCCTCATGAGTATCCAAGGCAAGATAACTCATTAAAAAAATTCAAAACCAACCACTATTCTATGAGTTTGAAGAAAGCTTTGTGAGAAAGCTTTGCGTCATAGCATGCACCTCTATTATCTTCGGCTCAAATTTCAAGTTCCAAAATCCAGGCGTGTAAGATTTAAATTGATGATTTCAATTTGTCTATGATATCATGTCCTGATGAAAAAATTGTGAAACCTGAAATTTCTATGCACATGAAAATTTATTTAGTGGATGATTGTTTAAAACTGCAAGCAATGTGTAGTTAGCATATGTTCTATGTGAATAATGTATCTAATAAATAATTATAAAATTGGTGAGTGAAAAATCACTTGACCTTTAAATATTTAAACTCTTGTAGTTTCATAATATGCATCACGTGCAACGCACGTATGACATACTAGTAATTACTAAATATGAATTTAAGAAAGAAAGAAGAGAGAAATGCACGAAGACGTAACAGCATCCATCCATCATTTTGGTAATGTATAAATACACGTACGAGGAGGTCACCTGTGTATCAAGACTCACTTGAGAATTCCACGTACCCCAACAAATCAGCTTCATATTCGTTTGAAATTCATCTAAATCTAATATTTGATCTACCTTTGATAATTTCTATTTATATACGAATAAAGTATGCACCATCAAAAATTTTTATTTTATTTTATTTTGCACAAATGTGCTATTTCTTTTTAGGGAAAAATGCTTCCAGCCCCCAAATTCGTAACAAGTATGCTTCCCCCTCCCAAGACTTTTTCAACGCTCTAAAAAACCCCAAATTCGTAATAACTATGCTCTGAGCCCCCAAAACACAAAGCCCAAGAATTTTACACAGGTAAAGACTATAATACCCATTCTCTCTCTCTAATATTATATTCGTAATAACCATATAATCCCTCCTCTCTCCCTCCTCCTTCCCCCACCATTTTTGCCCTAGCCCCCTCCGTCCCTTCTGCAACCCTCGTGGCGGCCGAAGCTCCTCTCCGGTCTCACGCCTCGACCCCTCGCCTCTGCTCGCTGAGATCCTCCGTGTCCACCGCTGATCCCAGCGCGGCGTCTGCTCGACCCCTCGGCCTTTGCTCGCCGAGAATATTTCATGAAGCTCAGAACCTCAACCTTAACCTGTCCCTGCAGTCTGGGCCTCGTCCCGAGCACGCACGAGTTTTCTCGTGTAACTATTGCAGACAGACTTTTTACAGCACCCAAGCTCTTGGAGGACACCAGAATGCACACAAGCTGGAGCGCAACCTAGCGAAGAAGAGCAGAGAGATGGCTAATGATTGAATTGATCTCGTAATGACACGTGCGAACTTGATGTTTCTTTGTAGCTTCTGAAGCTAATGCATCTAGATTTACTAGCAACAGAGTTTCTTCCTGTCACATGTTTTCTTTTTGGGATCTTTTTCTTTTTTTATTTTCCCCCTTCAAAATAAGTTTTCCTGTTCGAAAAAGAATGCCTCTTCTCTCTTGCATTAACGGTATTTTCTTTCTTCACGTTTAATATACATGTACCCAATGATAGTTATCTTTTCTATTTGCAGATAAGGTTACGGTTGTTAAGGTTACGGGTTGTTAAGATTACGGGTTGCTTGTTAAGGTTACGTGTTGCTTGTTAAGGTTACGGTTTGCTTGTTAAGGTTATGCGTTGATTGTGAAGATTAAGCTTAACAACCAACCCGTAACCTTAACAACCAACCCGTAACCTTAACAATCAACGCGATCTAGCTCACTCCCACTACCTAAAACAAATGTATGCATCATCGTCTTCTTCCTCTACCCTGTCAACGGTCTCAAAACCATGGCAGTCCACCTCCTCAGTGAGTGTTGAGTGGTAAAATGAAAGTAATCATACATTGCACAGTTTTATGTGGTGCTGTAAGCATGAATTTTCTGAAGAAAAGTATAGAATTGTTACTGCTTTTTATTTTATGAAGTTATGAATTATTATAGTAGAAGTACAAAAAATTAAAGCTTTTTTTTTTCTATTTCCTTCCTTTTTTTTATTTTTATGAAGGTTTTACGAGTTGCTTGTGAAGGTTACGGGTTTGCTTGTTAAGGTTACACGTTGGTTGTGAATGTTACGCGTTGATTGTTAAGGTTACGGGTTGGTTGTTAAGGTTACGGGTTGGTTGTTAAGCTTAATCTTCACAATCAACGCATAACCTTAACAAGCAAACCGTAACCTTAACAAGCAACACGTAACCTTAACAAGCAACCCGTAATCTTAACAACCCGTAACCTTAACAACCGTAACCTTATCTGCAAATAGAAAAGATAACTATCATTGGGTACATGTATATTAAACGTGAAGAAAGAAAATACCGTTGATGCAAGAGAGAAGAGGCATTCTTTTTCGAACAGGAAAACTTATTTTGAAGGGGGAAAATAAAAAAAGAAAAAGATCCCAAAAAGAAAACATGTGACAGGAAGAAACTCTGTTGCTAGTAAATCTAGATGCATTAGTTTCAGAAGCTACAAAGCAACATCAAGTTCGCACGTGTCATTACGAGATCAATTCAATCATTAGCCATCTCTCTGCTCTTCTTCGCTAGGTTGCGCTCCAGCTTGTGTGCATTCTGGTGTCCTCCAAGAGCTTGGGCGCTGTAAAAAGTCCGTCGGCAATAGTTACACGAGAAAACTCGTGCGTGCTCGGGACGAGGCCCAGACTGCAGGGACAGGTTAAGGTTGAGGTTCTGAGCTTCATGAAATATTCTCGGCGAGCAAAGGCCGAGGGGTCGAGCAGACGCCGCGCTGGGATCAGCGGTGGACACGGAGGATCTCAGCGAGCAGAGGCGAGGGGTCGAGGCGTGAGACCGGAGAGGAGCTTCGGCCACCACAAGGATTGCAGAAGGGACGGAGGGAGCTAGGGCAAAAATGGTGGGGGAAGGAGGAGGGAGAGAGGAGAGATTGTATGGTTATTACGAATATAATATTAGAGAGAGAGAATGGGTATTATAGTCTTTACCTGTGTAAAATTCTTGGGCTTTGTGTTTTGGGGGCTCAGAGCATAGTTATTACGAATTTGGGGGTTTTTAGAGCGTTGAAAAAGTCTTGGGAGGGGGAAGCATATTTGTTACGAATTTGGGGGCTGAAAGCATTTTTCCCTTCTTTTTATTTTGCATTATATATGTGTAGAAAGGCAAGTAGGTAGCATTTTCTAGATTATTATATTGTTGGGGAAAAGTAAGTAAGTTCTAAAGTGAATTTAGCTGTAAAATTTATGCATCTTATAAATCTTTTCAGTATCCAAACTTTATGCCATTCTACTTTTAGTTTAAAGGATTAAAGTAGTTAAAAAAAAATTCATGTGCATTTCCTGAGTAGTGTAAAATAAAATAAATAGACAAAAAAAAAGGAAGACGTGAGGTTTGGACTGGGTGGGGAAGCAGTCAAAGCTCGATTCATCTCGTTCACCAGCTCCTCGGAGGCTGGGGACCTCCGCGATCCGGGTGAGACGAGGAGTCTTATCTTAATTAACTAACTAATTAAGTAATTAATTAATCAAGGTTTAATGAATGAATTTGGTGTTTTGTTAATTGATAGATGGACGGGCAGATGGCAAACCCCCATCCTCCGACCCGATTCCAATCTTTTTCGTTTGCTTACTATAATAATAAGAGTGGTGTTAGGGGCACACCACCCACCACAACCCCAACCACACTCCCCCTTCTCATTACTACAGTAAACCGGGCCCCACATGGGATTTTAAATTTATGTGGGGCCCGGTTTACTGTAGTTGGGGTTGTGGTGGGTGGTGTGCTTCTAACATTATTTTAATAATAATAATAATAATCAAGAATCCACCTCTCTCTCTCTC